GTTCTGTGGAGCCACGCCCTCTTCCCCTAAGTGTTCATTTCCAGCCAAGGACTGCAGAAGTAGGGGCTGCTGCCAAGACTAGCTGGGCCTCCAACTACATTTTTTTTTTTTTTTTGGTCTTTTTCCTTTTTATCGGTACCGAGGATCGAACTCACGACTGCCTGCTTCCAAAGCAGGCGCTTATGCCGCTGAGCTAAATCCCCAGCCCCTCCAACTACATTTTTAAGGGCTATTAGCAGTAGGGAGAGGAGGGACATAGTGACAGGATTAGGGCAATGATGTGGGAGCCCGGGAAACCAAGTGCCACCATGCCTACAGCCACCTCTGCCTGAAAGTGGCACTCAAGGAATTCACCACGTAAAATTTTCAACCTGTAATTCGCCCTCAGTTGCTGCAGCTCTATCTGCTACTGTCACCAAACCTCTCTGAGCCGTAGAACGCTTGTCTGTGAATCAGTGAGATGCTCCCAACTTGCCTGTGCCTAAACTGTACAGCAACACAGCTGGGAAACTTCTTCACAAACAAGTTCCTTTCTCCTTTTGGCAACACTACCCTGTGCCCCTCTGCAAACAGCCTCGAAACTGAGATGGCACAGGCCATTCACAGGCCAATAGTGCGCGGCTGAGGGTAGCACAGCACCACACCCAGGAGCCTGACCCAGCGCCAGAGGGGCGGGGCTGAGCCAGTCCAGGCTACTCTGAGCTCTCTCACCAAGAGGTCCTCAGCCCCAGCTCTTCACGCACTCCAGCACAACAGCACTGTTGTATCTCCTACCTCTGCCGGGTCGGGTCCCAGACTTGCTCCCAAGCTTGCCTGTTTTCTCAGTCTCTGGCAGGTTCCCCCCACCATCCGGAGCTCACGAACACCATTCTCTCCTTAGTCCGCTCCTCTCTGCAAGCTTTTACTCATCCCAACCCTCCAATAAACTGCAGCCTAACTCCAGCTTTCCTCACCCCTGCCCCAGACTTCCTTTTCTATTCATGAGCACACTCATCTCAGCCAGGTTTCTCCACCGCCCCGGCTCCCTAAAGTAAAAGGAAGACATGAAAAGTTAATTCTCAACATACCAATGTTAGCGGCCTGCTGAATGGCCTGTGCCATCTCAGTTTCGAGGCTGTTTGGAGAGGGGCACAGGGTAGTGTTGCCAAAAGGAAAAAGGAACTTTTTTGTGAAGAATTGTTAGTATTTTCAGAGAAGGCCAAGGGTGATAAACTGTCCAAAGGAGTGAATGTTTCTTGAGTGTACTGCTAGGCATCTTTGCAAGGGCAGTATCTGGGTCCCTCCTGCACTCCCCATAAAGGCAGTCTGTTTGACAACTGTTCTAAGAGAGCCCAGGGTTTAAAATAAATTTTTATCTACAATATAGAGTATAAAATGGGACTCATGTCTGTCTTCCAGCTAAGAGGGTTCAGAAGAGACCCAAGGGCTGGGGATGTAGCTCAGTGGTAGAATTCTTGCTGACTGCTACCTTCTCCAACAACCCCGTCCTGATCCCTGGCTGGAGAGAAGGTGGGGTAGGACTTGCATCCTTATGGGCTAGGTCCCACCTGGGAGTCAGCAGCCCACAGTTGTGTTCTCGTTGGCATCACCTAGAGGTGACATCAGGAAGCTAGGCCCTAAGGTAAGTTTCTAATCCGTAGTTAGGAGGGCCTAATGGAAGTTGCATCCCCAGGCAATGCAGAAGCCACCAGTCACTCTGAGAACCACTACCGTGTTGGGTACTTCCTTCAGAGTCAGCCACAAACAGTCTTGGGGCCAGGGTAGGAGATCTGTTGTTCTTGGAAGACAAAGACTGATGTCTCTGATGAGTAACAAGCCAGGGAGAAATCTCTGGAAAGGTCTACCTCACCTACCCAAGATCTGAGGATCTCTTCACTTTCTGGCAAGCAGAAGACTGAACCTTCAATCAGTGAATATGAGGAGGGTTCCAAGGCAGTTGTTTCACTTAACGAGTCTGTTTTATTTATGTAATTGTTTATTTATTTTTTGAGACAGGGTCTTGCTTTGCAGTTCAGGTTGGTCTTTTTTTTTTTTTTTTTTTTTTTGTCTTTTTCCTTTTTATCGGTACCAGGGGTTGAACTCACGACCGCCTGCTTGCAAGGCAGGTGCTTATGCCGCTGAGTAAATCCCCAGCCCCTCAGGTTGGTCTTGAACTTACTATGTACAATCTTCCTGCCTCAGGCTCCTGAGTGATGGGATTTCAGATACACCAACATGCCCAGATCTATGATCTTTTTAAATATCACATTCGTTTTAATTCCCCTCTTATGTGCCAGGCGTTTTACCTATTTTATGTCTACTCTTTATTCCCACAATGTAAGGAGATACCCCTAAAGACTGCAAGGTAGGATGGAAATCCTATCTAATGTCAGGCTCTCGACTCTGAGTGATTCTGCCTAAGGAAAACAGGTCAAGCAATTTGAGTGGTGAAGTAAGAGATGCTCAGAAAGAAGAGAAGGTGGGTCAGATTAATTGTAAACTGCCTTCTTGGGAGAATAAAGCTCTAGAAGTCTATAAGATAACTATGTTTACCGAGAGCTACTTTTAAAATTAAGAACTGCTAATCTATGTTGAAGAAAACCTGTTCTTCCCAGATTAGAGGGAAGGAGCTGTTCATCTATGCCAGCACAGAAGCATGATGTGCGTGGTTCTTCTAGGTTATTCTCCACTGAAAGTTGCTGGTTTCAGGATGCAAGGGCAAAGTTTCTTTTCCTCAAACCCCTGTAGCATTCCATCTCTTCCTGAGCCTGGACCACTCACTCCTGCACTGTGAACTGACAGCTGGGCCTCTCCTATCATGTTTATTATTCCGTTTCCACCAATAAGTCCAATTCTTGGGACACTGGAGGCACAAAAGGTGTTATATAAATCAGCACTCCCATCATGCCATGGGAACTCACCAGTGCCAGGATTCCTCTTTACTCAACCTCCACGGTAGAGACCTGTTTGATGTTGCAGCACTAGAGGAAAATCAAGAGACTGGGAAATACACTTTGGAAAACTTATTTTAATAATTCTTCCTCCCCCCACCCCCCCACCCCCATGTGGGAAAGCCCAAAACAGTATGGCTGGGTTTCGTTACAAATTAATATACATTTTTGGGGGCATTGTGTAAAGTAAATCAACAATGTGGCAATAAAGGAATCCATGTTAACAAAGTATGTCACTGGAAACCCCACTTTGTGACTTCACTGGCTCCTTTGAAGACTACAAAAGATCAGTGGTCTGAATGTTCTTAGGGACTGGTCCACACAGTGGCAAGATGTCTTGCCTGGGCTCAGCCATCCAGATCCAATCAAAGCCAGGGAAACAGATGCTTTCTTCAGAATAAAGGGAGAAAAGATAGACTGACAAATCAACCCATTTACACTGAAGGTTGAAAAATTTTGAATTTTTGTATGAAATTCCTATGTATTACATAGAAAATTCGAGGAACAAGAATTTAAAAAGAAAAATTTTCATTATATTCTATTGTTAAGTGCCGTTCCAAAAATGGAACACTAGGCATAAAAGGATTAAGTCCTTAGTCACTTATAAGACCATAGGAAAAAATGGAGGCAGTTAAGTTAGAAGGCCTAGAAATGCACCACTTTTTAACCTTAAAAAGTTAAAAATTTGTGCTCACTTTGGCAGGTTTCAAAAGTTACAAATTAAAAAACAAAACTTAAAAGTTGGGCATAGTGGCAAATGCGTCCAAGCTCTCTGGGAGGCTACGAAAGGAGAACTGCCCCAGTTTGAGCAACTTAGTGAGACTCTGTCTCAAAATAAAAATAAAAACATGGGCTGGGGATGTAGCTCAGTAGAAAGGCCCTGCATTCCATCCTCAGTAATGGGGAGGGTGTGGGAAACCAATCATCACTAACAGTAAGATCACTGGAGAACGAAAAAAGGCACACAGGTGTGGTGGGCTCACGCCTATAAACCTGGGAGGCAGAGGCAAGAGGAATGACACAAATTCGAGGCCAGCCTGAACTACAAAGGGATACCCTCACTCATAAAACAAAAGCAAAAACAAACAAACAAAAACATAGTGCTGAGGATGGAGTACTTGCCTAGGATGCACAGGGCCTGGGTTCAAGCCCTAGCACTGAGAAGAAAAAAAAAAACACCAGTGAAATAGTTCTTAAATGCTGGGGACTCCAAAACCTCTGGGGCTAACTTTCTTCAGAGCTCTCCGTGATAATACCTCTTCATAAACTCCTCCTAGTTTGGAAAGCTCCCCCTTCCTTTTAGACTGCCTGACTAGGATTTAGACTTAGATTGAAGAGAAATGGGCTGGCACACATGAGTGGAACAATGGTCCTAGAAAATGTGTCACTGGTGACATTTTTCACATTAAAAGAAACACTGGGATCAATAGTCACTTGAGGATGCTCTGCCTTTCCTGACTCCTCTCCCTGTCCAGAGAACTCACAGGCCTGAAGACTACATCTTTAAATATTTTTGGCTGAGCCCTCTTGCCACATATGTCAGTAACATTCCAAGCTGGCTGCCACATGTTCAGGTTTTGGCCTTCTTCCCTCTCCTGCCGCGTACTCTGCTGTTTCAGGGCACTGTGGGGCCATGAGTCTCCCATTTCAGCTCCATCTTCAGTTGGTCACACATCTCAGAAACAACCACATTTTTATAAAAATTAGTTCCAAAAGAATGTTCATAGCTGAAATACTTATTCTGAGATGATTTTTTTTAAATTCCACTTGATAAATCTAATAAAGTTAGACAAAGTGTGTGTACACGCACACAGACACACACCAGCACACACCCACCAAATTTAGAGAAATGGGGGAAGGTGGTTCCTGCCAAAAGATCTAACAGAGGAAAGCTTATGTACTGATCAAGTTTTAATAACATGGTTAACAAGAAATGTACACCATTTAGCAAGCACACAAAGATCGTGGGTAGGAACTATTGATCCCCAGAGCATTTGTCTTCCCAGCCCTTTTCTGCCTACCTTTGGAACAGTACTGATAAGTTACTACATTCAGAGAATCCAGGAGGACTGCATGGACAGATGAACCTTTATTTAAAAAAATAGCACTTCAAATAAATTAAAAGGGAACCGTCAAGTGTTCAAATTGTGAAGAGATAGTTGAAAACCTAGAGACTCCAAGCTGCAGTCTTCTAACCTCATTCTTTGTCCAATGGCAAAAATCCACACATCTCAGCACTCCCACTCCCTTTTTGCCCCACTGAGATGAAGGAAGCAACTGTGAGCAGGAGACCAGACGGAGGAGAAAGCTGCATCTGATTGGAATGAACATTGCCACGTATTTGCTAATACGGGTTTCACTCTATGACCAAATGTATTCTTTCAAAAATAAAAAAGGGGAGAGGGAAGCTGCATGTTTTTAAAAATTGAAATTATTTAGGGATAAAACACTAACACTAGTGCCTTTAACGGGCAATAGCAACTTTTTTCCTCCGAAGTCAAACACCATCCCCAGCTGAGCCTTTGTGCTACAAGCTTTTCAGGAGATGTTACCTAAACTTTATTAAAAGAAAAGAACAAGTTTAAATATAGACACTGGACTAGCCCAGTCTGTATTTTCAAGTCCACATTCTTCATCTGAAGCATTGCATCAGGGACACCCCTGAGTCTATATGTTTTCAAGTTCACAGTACATGGAACCAGTTTTTCTTTTTAATTTTTTTTTTCCTCACTCAGAGCAGCCACACACAGGGGCAGTTGACGCTGGAACCTTGGATGAAGGCCTTTTCCTACGAGGCCTGGCCAGAGCTGCCCAAGGTTTCTCCTCAATGAGAATCGATGCTGTCATGCTCTACGGATGGGAAAAAAGCAAGAAAATAAAAGCACCTGGTACAGGTTTCATGAGATCCATTCGGATTCGCTATGTTCCAAACCCGCTGCTGAATGCCACTTGTCCACCTTGTGTGCTGAACGGTCTGTGGCCTTGGAGTAGGTCTCAATTTGAAGAACTGTTATTGGATGCCCCAGAGGTTGATGCAATAGCAGCTCCAGCAGGGCTACTTGTGGAAACTGATTTTCGGATGTGAGGCAGCAAGTAGGGATCACAGGCCAACTGCTGGACATCAATGCGGTCCTCCTTTCGGTAGGCCAAGCATCGTCGGATAAAAGCCTGCAAAACAAAATGTCTTGTAGAAGACTGAGGCAGATAATCTTAGCATCCCAGAGAGAATCTGAGATACTGAATTTGGGACCAGGACCCAGTGCAAATAGCTCCTAGACAGTGGGGGCTTAAGGCCTTTCTCGAACCCATCAGGCAGATTCAAGGAAGTCAAGAGATCAGTATTGGCAGTGGCACCTTTCTGCTGTTACTGATTCCTTCATCTTGCTGTACAGGGAGCTGAATTTTTCTTGAAGTGGAAAAGTATGATCCCTAAATACTTCTACCCCCAAAGCACTGAGATCAAGACTGACAATAAATATCTCTTAGCTTGGCTTGTTTGGTGAAAACAGTAATCTCATGGTCTTGCATCAACAAACCATGGCTTCACCTGAACTTCCTGAGGAAATGGAAATTCTAAGCCTATACTACCACCATGTACAATATAAGGAACTGACAACACAGTGTCTATAGGCTGTGAACTGATTTTCCTATGAACCTCATTTTTTTCTAATGATCAGATATTTAATAAAGGCAACAAGATTGTATCCCCAAGAGTACTGTAATATGACATCACTTGTCATAAAGGTCTTTTTACAGATTATTTGTCTTTTCTGGCTGGCTTTCTTTGAATTTTTTAACCAGATAGCTCTATACTCAATTTTTTATAACTATTTAAATTAAGTTAATCATTTAAAAAATTGAAGTATTATTATCAAAAGCCTACAATTTATAGCAGAGTAATAAAGATATGCCAATGTAGGCTTACCAATGATAACATAAGTTCCAGCCTAGTGTGGTATGATGGGGAGGGTGTGGAAGAAGCACTGGTGAAACATAGGAGCTGTGGACTTTTTGCTCAATCTTGCTGTAAACCTCAAACTGTCCTAAAAAGTAACATCTACAAGATAACTTAAAACACAAACTATTGATTTTTTTTGGAAAAAACATTTTTTTAATCTTTTTTTTTTGTGTGTGTGTGTGTGTGTTTTTCATTTTTATTGGTACCAGGGATCGAACTCACGAATGCCTGCTTGCAAGGCAGGGGCTTATACCGCTGAGCTAAAGCCCCAGCCCCCCAAACTATTGACTTTTTCATGTTCAACAAAACATTAAAGTATAATGCCAAGTTTTGTTTTTTAAGACTGAAGCACTTCTTTGATTAAAGTATTTGGAAGACGTAACAGATTTATAGAAATGAATATAAGAAGCCCTGGCCTCTAAAACTGAAACTTTCTAGAGATTCCAGTATGGAAATAGAGTTTAACTGGTTCTCTTCAGTCAGAAAAACTTGAACTTTCATTTTAGATCGCAATCAGATCACACAGTAGCCCTGATTATCCTCTCTGCCCTTTTCACTGCATTTAACAATGGCACTGGGCAGAGCATGGTGCTGCACACCAGTAGTCCCAGCACTCAGGAGGATGAGGTAGAAGGATCACTGGGAGTTTGACGCCAGCTTGGGCTACATAGTGAACTCAAGGCCAGTTTGAACTACACAGCAAGACTCTACCTCAAAACAACAACAACAACAACTATGGCATTAGGTTTCTTCTACCACTTTCCCCTCTACTTTGCCTGCTTGGTGCACCTGTAAGCTCATGCCTACATTTGAGCTAAACTCATTAATCTCTGCAGGGACTGCCCTTCCCCACCAAATCTATACATGAGTCCTATCATTCAAGAAATGCTCAAGATGTCACTCATCAAGGTGTTTCCCAACTATGCCATCAGGAAGGAGACCAACCCCTTGTGAACTCCCTTTCACTCCAATTTATTTTCTTAATAACATTTATAATCACTGTAAGTGTACTGATTTTGTTTTAACGTCTCATCTAATAGAATGTAAGCTTCTTAAGGGAGGGACCCTCGTCTGTGTAGTTTACTGCTACATATTCACAGTTTCATTTCCACTACCTAGAACAGTGTCTGGTTGACTACCAGGCACTCAATATTTGTTGTGGAAGGAGAGGAAGAGGGTAGGGTTGCAGAAATATGTATTTAGAAGGACAAAAATGAAGGACAGTAGAGATAATTAGTGGAAAGATCTGGAGATTTTTCTCTATCCTTTATAAGGATTTTTTTTTTTTTTTTTTTGTCTTTATCGGTACCAGGGATCGAACTCATGACCGCACACTTGGAAGGCAGGCGCTTATGCTGTTGAGCTAAATCCCCAGCCCCTATAGGGATTTTTTTATAGGTCTAACAATTTCTAACATTTTTGAAACTTTTAATAATCTATTCAGTGAATAAATGCCAACATCTGACAAAAGTGGTATAAGTAGTCTCCAGAAACCTGACAGATGAGAAGAATTAAACATCTGTTAGGCAACAAGTATTGGTTGTCACTCTGGGGCTAAGTGGGACACTGATACTAACTAAAAGCAAGTGCAGAGGCTACTGGAGGGGCAGGAGAGCCAAGCTGCAGGAACAACCAGCCTACATGGTAGGTGTTTTGGCCTCTGTTTATGGACGAGGAAAAGCACTTCAGAAGGTTTAGACAAAATGACCCAAAGTCACACTGCTACTGAAAGAAGCGCAGATATCAAAATTAGGTCTGTCGAGTTTCAACATTGAGGCTTTCTGCAGCCCTCTTCCAGGAAAACAGCATTTGCCTTAGGAATATATTACAGAATTTCTCCTTGCAGTTTTAATTTCTTGGTTATAGTGCACTTAACTTACTGAATGATGGGGCAGGAAGTCAGAAATTATAAACTATAGCTTAAGATGTCCTTTCTTTCCACGTAACGTCAGGTAGAGCACTTGGGAAAGTAGTTCCTTTCTAATCTACTTCATACAAGTGTACTACAAGGAACAGCTGAAACCAAACACTGGTAAAGGGAATTAAGACTTGTAACTTGTTTGAACTTTAAAATTGCTGCATGACTATGGATGGCATCCAAAGATGCTAATCACCACCAATCTAAGTAGGACTGGTTAATAGAAAAAAAGAGCTAAGTAACAGAGCAAAGACAAAGTAATTATCGTTTCTTTGTTCGCTTCTTATTCCATGTTGCCCTGGTTTTTCTTTTCTTGGGGGGTGGGGGTGGGAGTGGGGTGGGGACTGGGGATTGATCCAGGCCTTTGCACTGAGCTACATTCCTAAGTCCTTTTTATTTTGAGGTGGGGTTGCACTAAGTTGCTAAGTGGTGCAGGCTGGGCTCTAACTTGTGATCCTCCTATCTCAGCCTCCAAGAGTGCTGGGATGTGTGCTAGGACACGTGTGTGCCCACACCCAGCTAGGTACTAGCAATTGATCCCATAGTCTTTGCAATGAGATATATTCTCAGCCCTTTGTTTTTTGTGACAGGGCCTCACTAGGTAGCTTAAGCTGGCCTTGAACTCACTGAAATCCTCCTGCTTCACTATTCTGAGTGCTAAAATTACAAGCACATGCCACCATACATGGCTCTTTTTTAAAAAAGATTTTGAGATAGGGTCTCACTGAATTCCCCAAGCTGACCTCAAACCTGTGGTCCTTCTGTCTCAGCTTCCCAAGGAGCTGAGATTGCAGGAGTATGCCAACACACACTGGAAGTATATTTTTATGAATGATCTCATTTGACCAGTTGCTTTAGTGAATTTACTGCTTACCACTGATCACTACTTAACCTATAACACCTTATTTCCATCTACCCATACTTTTATGTAGATGAGATTTTACTGTGTTGCCTAGGATAGCCTTGAACTAGAGATCTTCCTGAACCTCTCAAGTAGGTAGGATTATACACATGTATCGCTGGATCTGATGCCTTAGTACTATTGTATCTCTTATGTGGGTTTTCATGCCCCAAAACTGATCAGATTCCTTGAGTAAGGACAAAACTAGGGGTTTCCCCTATTACCAACAATAGCTGGTATATCTATCTGTATCTCTATTGAGAAGTCTGCTCTCCCGTCCCTGCCTGACTCTAAAAAGCTTTGTGGAATAAAAAGCCAATCTAGAGTTGGGGATTTAGTTCAGCAGCATAAGCACCTGACAGGCAAGCATGAGGTCATGAGCTTGATCCTCGGTACCAAAAAAAAAAAAAAAAAAAAAAAAAAACCAGCCTATTTGTCAACATTCCTTTTATTAGCCTTGGGATGAGGCATAGAACCACATCATTCTATTGTTTCTGGAGTACTAATTCATCCCTATCCTGTTTTTAATAACTGCTAACTTTCATAATGAAAAATTCACCCACTATCATCCCAAGAAATAACACAGAAGGTAAGGCAGTCGTTTCTATTGGCCAATGGGTCAAAATTTACCTTTGCTTCAGGTGTTACTACTGGCTTTGGCGGGAACTGCACTTCAGTAGCTTTAAGAATAGTATTCTCTTGTAGAATGTCCTGCTGGGACTGATTGTGGCCAAAAGGCTGTAACAGAAACACAAAATCAGCAAATAAAAGTGGGCCTCTGAATAAAATTAAAGAGGATACAATTGGTACCAAAGGGTAGGAGAGAGTACATCTCCTGACCATGGCTGGAACAAATTCTGGCAACACTCTCTTCCAATTTTCTCCTTTCAAAGATGAGGGGATGTCAGGTATGAGGGGGCTCACAGCTTAAATCAGAACAGGAATCAGAAGCAGCTTCTCTTCCCTCAAGCTTGGTCCCAGCAAAAAAAAAAAAAAAAAAAAAAAAAAATTCTGAGCAGGAATCAACAACCTTGCGTACTCTGAGTGATACCTGTAGGCCTAAGTACCACACTGGCCAACCCGTGATGCTGACAAAAAGACATAAAAAAGAAGTACAACAGAAAGGCTACAGAAAAAGTGGAGACAAAAAAGGGCTTCATTTGTGCCCCCAAGATATCATTTCTTAATATACTCTTATAGGTAAGTTTAAGCTTACCATCATCTGTAGTGAAAGAGCTCAAATAATTCTTTCCAGGTAACTTCAACAATTCAACATTATCAAACAATACACACAATAAGTAAGCCCCACTAGTTTTAAATAGTTCTCTTGTTTAGAAGTAGAATAGAGAAAGGCAGACCAAGGAGAAGTTAAAGAGAAAACTGCATTCTGAACTAAGAGCATGGCTTAGAGGGTGTAATCAAAATATTAAGAGTTCATAGAAGTTACAGAATTCACATCTAGCTTTTACTCATGGCCTAAGAATGAACACTGAAACATACAAACACACTGAAGGCCAAAACAGAAATACAAATATTCAACTGTATCCATATGGGGTAGGTAAGTATACTAGGATAGATATACAGACAGCATATACTTATTTGTAAGATATGGTAACAAGGAAAAAACAAACATAAAAAATTCATTAGGTTAAGTTTACTATGTGCTTGGATAATTATTTGCTCAAATGACATGCCACCCGATTCACAGGTGATAGATAAGGAGTACTTTCTGAGACCACCTAGCATCAAAATATAAAGCAGCTTTTCTTTTCTTTTTTTTTTTTTTTTTGTTGTTGTTATTTTTGGTAATGGGAATCGAACTAATGAGCCTGCGCTTGCCAGGCAGGTGCTTGTGCCTTTGAGTTACATCCCTGGCTCCCAAGCATGCTTTTTTTAATAACAGCTTTTACTAACAGGGTGTTTAAAAATAAAGTCTGGGAACATTTCCAGTTCCAGCTCTTAGAACCTTTAAGAAGGCTCTTGGGAAGGTTGTTCCCTTTTTTTTTTTTTTTTTTTTTTGGTCTTTTTCCTTTTTATCGGTACCAGGGATCGAAGTCATGACCGCTTGCTTGTAAGGCAGGCGCTTATGCCGTTGAGCTAAATCCCCAGCCCTCAAGGTTGTTCACTTTAACAAAAAACTAACTCATGCAAGTACCTACACAAATTACTAGAATCAAAATGTCCTGTATCTGAGAAGAGCATAAACGTATGTTTTCAATAGCCTAGCAAAATTCATTAGGTGCCCCATGGTTGAGAATTTGAGCTTAGAAATAAAGCTTTTATTATTAGGTCTATATTTTGTTTAAACTACTACTTTCAAGATTCTTACTGTAACTCAATGATTAACTCTCAGAATTAATCCACAGGGAGGTGCCAAGCACAAATGCCACCCAGAAAGAAGACAAGCTCTTATACTGCCCTTTTTTACCTTCCTTCCATAAAGACACTGGTAGAAGATCACACCCACTGACCAGACATCAACTTTATTTGAGATCTTTGGTGGTTCTTTCCCAACCACAAAGCACTCTGGTGGTAAGTACCTAGGAAAAGAGAGAAAAATTCTTAGAAATATGAATGTAAAAATTCAAGATACAAAAAAGAAAAATAAAGGACCTTGTTGAAAACAAGTATCTGCATTTTAACAGTCAACTTAGAAATACAGCGGAGTCATTGAAAAGGCACTATAAAGGAGGGTACATCAGGCATTACATATACTTCTCAATTTATAGAAAGGTAAACATTGTGCCTAATAAAAGTGTCACTCAAAGTTTTTTTGTTTTTATGGTGCCAGAAATTAAGCCTAATAGCTTCATTAACAAACATTAAAATTTAACCATGTTGCTTGAAGATGTCTTGAAAATCAGTGTTTTGGATTTTTGTACCTCTCCTTTTTGTGCTGGGGATGCAACCAGGGACTCTACTGAGCTTTACCCCCAAACCCTAAAATCAGTGTTTTCACTGAGAAGAGATAAGGGTATTCTGCCTTCTTAAAGTAGCCTCTTTAGAAATCCTGGTCTGAAATAACTCAATACAAAATAAAGAGTGACGTGGAAGTCCCCAGAAGATATTTTATATTTTAAGGGTGATTAGAACTTACAGATAAAGCATCAAACTTCAAACAAACTAGTTGGCACAACTCTCTCCTCATCTAAACTCTACCCCCACCCCCCATTTCTAAAGAAACCAAGGGACACACCACACCAAATTGTATAGTACGGAAGATAAGGAAACCAAAAAATCTGTCTGGAGTTTTCCACTGTGCACAGCTAGAAGGAAGATCAATGCCTGCAAATTTGGTGCTTGTAAAATCCATTCTGTGGAAAACTCTCCATTGTGCTCCTGGAGTAAAAATCTAAACTTAACAGCTTGAAGGAACCACCAGGGGAAATAGGCAGCAAATATTCCTTCTCCCATCCACCACCTCTATCAAACACAGTTGCACAAGACAGCTCTGCCACCATCTCTCCTTCGTCTTGTCAGACTGACTGTTGCTAGGTTGCTCAGCTGGTCGCAAACTGCAGGGCTTAAGACACCCTCCCACCCTAGCCTTCTATACAGCCGGGACTACAGGTATGTGCCACTATGCCTGCCTTTTTTCTTTTTAATGACTGTTGTTTCATAGTTTTCTTATTTTTCTTAGCAGACAGTTTTGGATGATTAAGACCTCTGACTAGATTATTTCACAATAAAAAAACTGAGGTGAAACATACACTGAGGACTTGGGGTATATAGCTCAGGTGTGGTACGGTGTGTGCTTAGAATGTACAAGACTCCAGGTCTGAGCCTCAGCACTAAAGGAAACAAATACCAAACCAAACCAACTCATTCTAAAAAGTACAGTATAGCTTTAGAACTGAACTAAGAAGAGAAGAAGGGAAACTCAAGTGCCACTAAAACCTCCTGGGGCCCTAATTTTTATACTTCTCAACCTTTAATATTCATAATGTAAATATAATCTTGGATAAACATTAAATATAACCATGATTCTAAAATGACCACTGTAATGCCTTCACAACTTTTTGTGGAAGTGGTGAACAAGAACTGGGAATGGTAAACACAAGCAAAAGCAGAGGGGTAATTTAGCAAGATTTTAAGAATATAAAAGACACTATTAAATTCACAGTACAAATCTGGTAAATCACCTTCTCTCTAGGTCTTAGCTTCTAATCTGTAAATGAAGAAATCAAAACTACTTCACTACTAAACACAACAAGTACCTTCTTTCCTATCAAGGACTTTGAGAGGGAAAGTAAAGAGTTCTACGATGTAACACTAAACTGTGTTAGAATAAAACAAAATAATACCAGTTACATTTCCAGCACAATAAAAGTTCTCAGTAGAAGAAATGATTTTCGAGGCATAGTTTATGACTTATTTTTACAGTAATCAATGTATAAGAATTCAGGAACAACTAAAAACTGCAGTTACTTAAAATGTTCTGTCTTCCCAGCATATTCATCTCTCTGGATCATCATTTTAAAAGTGACACTCAGGATGGTGACTATGACAATGTTTCTACCTACACTGATACTTTTCAAATCTTCCTAAGAATTCACAGTTTAATTTTCTCAGGACTCCCCTCTTTACCTTATATTATGAAAAATCTTCAAATATAACCTCAAGTAGAAAGTACAATATAACAAATCCATGCATCATCTGACTTCAATGACCATCACCATATAGCTAATCTTTATTCTTATATATCCTTCCCTATGCCCTCCCCAAATGTTTTTCAAAATATTCCATCCTCCCCAAAATATTAAAGCAAATCATACAACTTTTACTTAAATTCCAAAAGCTGAATTTTTATAGCTAGGAAAACAGAGCACTGTAGCAGTCAGATAATTATTTTGAACATGAAAAAACTGCACCTTTATAAAAAGAACAAGCTATTAAATACAAAGTTCAAGTCCAAGTTTCAGTTAACTTATGTAGTAGAGATATAAAACTCTCCCAACTTTCCAAGAGCAGATATTTTTGCATCACTTAGTGACAGGGACACTAACCCACAATAACCACCACAATGAATAAACACTGTAAATGCAGCTTCTATTTTAAACCTAGAATTTTAAAGCTTTAATTTAGGGACTTTTTACCATAGGTACCATCTCTATAAGCAAGAAGGAACAACAGAAAGCAGTTTGTGCACACAAGTATTGAGTTTCGCTATGTAGCCCAGGCTGGCTTTGAACTCATAGCGACCCTCTGGCCTCAGCCTCCCGAGTGCTTGGGAATACAGGTGTGTATCACCACACCAAGCCAGCACATGGGTGTTATTAGCAGGATAAACTGAGGAGAACAGGTTCGTGTGTTTGTTGTGAACAGCCTCCTCCTCCTGCCTGTTTGCTCTCACAAGTCCCTCATTCCTAGATAGTCAGTACTCTGCTAAGGTCCAGGGCCTCCCTGTCCCAAAAGTAAACAGTCTGATCACCTGAACCTACAGTACCTACTCTATCTGTTCTAAAGAACCTTCTTCAGGTTCAGAACCACACATACGTGGCTTTTAACTACTCAGAAGGGAAAAGAAAGCTTTGTTAACATGCTCTACCATCATGAAGTTAAATGCTTTTGCCCCAGATATGTTTTATGGTTCTGACTGTCAAAAGTAATAGCAGGGGTAACAAAGTAACAGGCAGAAACAGGAAAGGTTAAAGAACTGGTGGCACAGCTAGCTGGGTAGGGTGGTTGGGGTGGGGCAAGTAACGAAAGATGGTAAGGAGAAACGTGCCTCAAAACCTCTTAGAACATGGCTAACAGACATGGATAAACTTCTGGTAAACTGTGCTCACTTTTTCCTGTATAGATTTCATGGGATGCTGTGGTTTTTTTCCATTCTGATCTTCACAATCCTTAATTCTTGAGAGTCCATCATCCTCAGGCAACTCTAGAAACAAACCCCTCATCACATTAACCCATGAAGAAAGAGACTTTGATTTGTACTGAAAAGAATTCAGAGCCATTCTTATATACACCACACGAGTAACCACGTTCTCTACTGACTTGTATGGCCAGCACTGTGGAAGAACATACAACTCAAAGACCTGGCCAGAATAAGCTCTTTCTCTCTAGGGTTTTCAAGTGAGGAAGAAAAAACAAAAAACTAAAAACAAAAAAGACATATTAATACAAATAGTCAAAATGTTAAAAAGAGATGATTATAACATTTCTGCTTTGGCATACAATATACTGAAATTAATCAGTAATTATCAATGCTTCAGTACAGCGCAGCTGCATCTCCATCTAGCAGACCTCTTGGATACCTACCAATAAGTACCAGCACCTTGTGACGTTAGTTCCATGCCATCCACTGAATTGTAGCTATCATCATCCATGATCTTAGAAAGACCAAAATCTGTAATTTTTATCTCTCCACATGCTGTACCATTTACTAAAAGAATATTACCTAAAAAGATAAAAATCTTTATAAATAAGCACACTTATTAAGAGAAAAATTCAAAGTAGTAAGAAGGGATGAACTTAATTCTTATGTGCAAAAACAACCGTGTAACTCTTCAGAATAAAGCAGTCTAACTCTAGATGTTGGGGGAAGAGTTCTCTGTGTTTGTTGAAAATTTTGCTTTCCAAAAATCACCTGCTTAATGTGCCCAAACCACCACTACGAGTTTTGAAAATAAAAACAAGTTGCCAAGGTAAAATATCATTTTCACAGTTAGTAAAAAAAAAAAAATGATAGGACCATTTCATTTGACCTTTTGGTGAGATCTCTGAACTATCTTATTTAGAACAGAAGTTGGGACAAACACCAAAGAAAACATGCAAAGAAATCAAAGATAGTACCACAGTGCCACCTAGAGCTCATTTGATAATAAAAGTCTGTTGAAATTCAATGATGGAAAACCTGATCACACAATAGCCATCCTTTAAAAAACCTTTTAAAAAAAATCACCTCATTATAATTAATTTTTCACTCATCTGAGTTACATCAGAAAAAGATGAAAAATTCTGCTTGACATTTAAGGAATTAAGAGGTATATATACAAGGTAAGTTGTTAATTTGGGGCATTTATCAAAGCAAACTGGAGCAGAGGAATTGCAACATGGTGTAAGTAATGGGAAAAAACAAAACAGAACTTACTAGAACAGTTCTGAGACTGGCAAAAATAAATAAATAAATAAATACAACCAAAACAAAACAAAAAAGGGGGCTGCTACCATAAACCACCCTGGCTCTGCAGACAAAAGCGCTGCTTCTCTAGAATGCTTAATTTGACCCAGAGCTGTGCAACAAGAATTTCTTTTTTCCCATATTCAACCAGGCAAGGACACTAGTCCTTCCTAGGTCCTGTCAAATTCTTACCATTTACAAGACTGAAAAGCTACTGTCCTCCTAAAAGTTAGACATACCTGGTTTGAGGTCATAGTGTATAATGGGAGGTTTTATTTCATTTAAGTATTTTAAAGCATTCACAATCTGCATGATAATGGATCGGGCTTCTTTCTCTGACATTAATTTGTGCTGTTTCAGGTAGAAGTCCAGATCATTTCCCTCACAGTACTCTAATACTGTACAAAACCTAAAAAAAAAATTAAACCATCATTTAACCATCGGACAAAAACAAAATTAAGAACTACCTAACTAATCCCAGTCAAAACTTTAGGTAATCAGCTTTTCCTTTCCTCTTCCTTAAAACAGCCTTCTATTCTTTACTTATTGTCAGCTATCTGAGTGATTTTTTTGTTTTGTTTTTGTACTAATTACTCTTAGCAGGACTCCAATTTGTAATCCTCCTGCCTCAGCCTCCCTCAATTCTGGGATTATAGGTGTGTTTCACCATATTTAGTTTATCTCAGCTGTTTACAGAAGAAAAATGCTTACTTTCTTGGAGAAAAGCCTTCACATCCTCCATATTGTCATGGGCCATACTAAAGTTCATCTAGGCCTACCTCTCCTTAAATATGTACTCTAAGAACACTGACAAGAACTATAATATATGCTCACTAGATGTCTTCTCAAAAGCTCTCCTTTACAAACCTATATGTTGTGCCCATTTCTAAACAGTCATATTGTGATCAAGCATACAATTATCACTACAGACATGCCATATAACCTTGAGTGTGTAGACTGAAAAAGAATCTAGAGTTTGCCCAAATCCTAAGAACTAGTTGTGTATTCACATCCTGGCAATGTGGCACAATACTGCACAACTGTGTTACTTCACTGTACGGGGTGGGGGAGGGGGGCTTTCGCCATCATTTATGTCAACACATCATACAGACCCACATTTAAAATTATGTACCACTGGTGGCATTACGGGTCATATGTTTATGCTCCAAGGTATTATAAGTTGAAATGAACCTTTTTGAACAGTTTGAATGTCCCTGAGACGAATACCTTTTGACTACACCAAGTTGGAATAATGTGGGTCTCCATGCAAGGGTACAATCAGGAAATAAAAATCATTTGAATAAGATAGACAGGAGTTTTAATTTAGGAAACTGATCACACAAATGATGGAAGAACTGAGAAGACAAACCAGCTAGTGAGGCATCCCATCAGTCATCTACAGGAGAAAGCCTTTAGCACATTAGAGTCAGAGTTTCTGAGGGAGGAGATGAAGTAACCCGAATCCAGAGTTACCAGAGAAAACTAGAACTGGAGTGCAACAGGGTGCATGTGAACTGCTCCCATGCATTGTGTGTGTATGTGTGTGTGTGTGCCTGTGCGTGCACATGGTTTCTCCCCAGCTGATGTGGAATTCAGCGGGACACCAATTGACATGAGCCTGGTAAGCACAGTGTACTGGAGTCGTCCACCACCTACCCTAGATGTAGAGCAGAGAAGGCTGAGGAACAGAAAACAAGCAGGCTCAAGACTAGTGCTGTTGGCCTCTGGGCAGCTAGTGCCTCTGAAAAGTACTGCAACTGACTGTGAACAAACATGGTTGTGTGTAATTCTGAAACTGAACAAACAGTTTATGCTTCTTATGAAATACAGCAGGACATATTAGCACTATGCTTGATTTCTTCTGAGCATCTGCTTGGTTGGCTTTTTGAAACAGTATCTTGTTATGTAGTTTAAGATGGCCTTAAATTCACTATGTAGTGCAAGTTGGCCTTGAATTTACAATCTTGCTCCTAACTCAGTCTCTCCTGGGATTTTAGGCATGTGCCACCACACTCGGCTTGCAGACATTACTTGAGAATAATTATCTGAAATACATATATTCTCTAATATGACAGGCTGAAATCTGAGACAAACTCTCATGTTCAATGAATTGATTCTTTGGCCCAAATGCAAGCTAGAAATAAAATTTCACTTTTAATAACCCAAACAACTCTCAGAAGACATTCTAAAACCGTAGTCTGATTTATTTTTTATGAAAATTCATCATATACACAATAGGAAGAACAATATAAGAATAGTACATAAACGAGTCAATTTATATTAGTGAAAAGTGTGCATATAATTGAAACTTGCAGATAATCCAAGTCACTGTATCTATTTTGAAATAGTTTTGGCACTTATATTTCAGAAAGTGATCTAACCTAGTATTCAAGAAATCTAATTAAAGAAAAAGAGTGACACTACTCTGTAGAGACCTCACCTGGTTATCTCAGTCCTGCCCTTTACCTGGATTATTTTTATGAACTGTACTCCATGTTAAACACACATGGTTATACCTGATGCAAAAGGCTCCTTAATAAAAAGGGAAAATCCTGAGCAGATGGAAGAGAGGGCACTTGAAGCTTCTCAAAGCAATATGGTCTTTCTGGAATATTTCTAAATGTGGGCTTGTTGTCTGTGTAACTATCTGACAGAACTGCTAGATGAGCAGATCAAAACTCCCAGATCACCCTAAGAGACCGAAGGAACACCTGCAGGCCAGATTAAGTATATTCTCCTGACTCAGGTCAGATTCCTATAGAGAAATATATTTTAATGTTGAAATATTTCTAAACTTCTGGATAAGCCCAGAGGCTTATCCAGGCTAAAATTTACTTATCTATAATAGGTAACAATATAAACAAGTATCAAAGATTTCAGACAAGTCACTTCACCTTGCTGGTCCTCACAATTTACCTGTAAAATAAGAAGGTGGAACTCTCATCTCTTTCAATTCTGACATTCTGTACAACTATGAACTTACATTTCGGCTTGCAGCTTTGGACACTGCCTTTGATCTCCTGCTATCAGCAGTGATGGTGAACCTTGTAGAGCTTTCAATGACATAAACAGCCTGCTGTGGCCCATGTGCCATAGGTTTGCCACCACTGCTTTAGGACAGTATCACATTCCTGGTTACTTTCCTAAGGACCTGAATTCATTAAGAGTCTCTTAAGCAGTCTGCATTCACTGGGCAGTGTCAGTGGAATGCTGGCCTTGTGCCAATTCCCCAAAACTAACTGCTCCATTTTTAGGAATTCTGTGAGCTGGTTATAACAATATTTGTAGGACAGATGGATAAACAAAATGTGGTAAATCTATACAAGAGTATTTTTCCCCAGTAGCACAGTTTTACTAAAGGTAGAAAAAAAAAACGGGCTCTGCAGAGTGAGTCTACTTACTGGGTACTTACTGAGTAAGTAAAAGTAGGAAAAGAAGTATACTCTACAGTGTGTGTGAGGGCCACCATGGAACAGCAAGACACAGTGGCCCAACACAGTACTGCCTGGTCATAAAAAGAAATGAAGCACTGATATATACCCTACAGCACAGATGGGCCTTTTTTGGTAGGGGCAGGGGGAGCTTGCTGGGGATTGACCCAGGGCCTTGGCACTGAGCTACAACACCAGCCACTTTTTATTTTAAGACAGGGACTAAGCCACTAAATTGCCCAGGCTAGGTTTGAACTTGTGATCCTCTTGCCTCAGTCTTCTGAAGTGTAGGGATTACAAGTGTGCACCATTATGACCAGCTCAAAAGAGATTATTTGTATACTTGTGTTCCCAACAGCATTATTCACATTAGCCACAGGCAGAAACAACCTATGAATTCATTGGCAGGAGAATGGATGAATCTAGATAAACCTCATAAATATTATATCAAATCAAAGAAATCAGCCACATAGACACATATACTATATTATTCCATTTATGTGAAAGTTCAGAATAGGAAATCTTTATAGAGACAGAAAGCAGTGATTGCTCAGGGTTGAAGGAAGGGTTAAGTGTGGGTGGGAAAACAGTAAAGGTATGGGTTTCTTTGGAGGTTATGAAATGGATGAGTATGGTATGTGAATTATTTTATAATTCAATATAGCTTTTTTTAAAAAGTTGATAGTTGAAACCTGGATATGAGAATATTTACATCATGGAAACTGGCAAACACTACAAATCAGCTTATACTTAGTTTTTAACTAAACTTATAGTTAAAACATTTCCTGCAAAAAGTAAACATGTCCTTTGTCCCAGAGATGTATGGCTAACTCAAAACTCAATTTATCTATGATCAATTGCTGATAAACTAATACATTTGTAATTCCTTCAGAGATATGTCGTGGGGCCAGATTTAAATTCTACTGTATGAACACTAAATAGTTTAAGAAAATAAAATAAAATGGCACAGTACTTACGAGTCAGTGTCCAGTGAAAAGTAATCATACAGCTTAACTATTCTGGGATGATCTAATTCTTTGTGAATACGGTATTCCCTACATGCATGCCTGTAAACAAAATGGAAAATTAACAAGAAGGCTTTTTAGCTTGTTTTTTAAAAGCTATTCAAAAATACTTTATAATAGTCTCTTTTCTCCACCATTTCCATATGTTCATTTCATTCAGATTCATCTGGCTCTCTGACCTAATTTTTCTCTTTCTTCATTCTATTTTCTCTGTTGGCATTTACTTAGCTATTCAAAAAATACTAGGTGGTCACAGATTTAATGGATGCCAACCTTTTATCCTTTTCAAGTTTTTTCTATGACAATCATTCTTCTTCTATGTTTATAATCAAATATCAAAGATTAAAAAATTACAAAGACAGCCTTTTCCCTCTTCTAAAGCTGCACTGTACTTCATAACTGTGAATACTTCAATGAAAAAAGTCAAATTTATCTTGTAAACTACATGGATTAAGAGATTACCTGATGACATAAATCAACTGGCAGTACTTTTACTTTTTTCTTTTTTTTAGGAGACAGGGTTTCACTAGTTCAGGCTGGTCTTGAACTTACTTTGTAGTCCAGACTGGCATTGAACTCCCAGTGATCCTCCTGCCTCAGCTTCCCAAGTGCTGGGATCACAGGCATGAGCCACTATGCCCAGCTAAAACTTACTTCTTACAAATAAAATACATGGTGTTAGCTTTGCATTGTTCTAAGAAAATGTGAAATTTACAGAAAGTATTAAATTAAGGAAATTCCAGCTTTCTTAGAATAAATATATATATATAGTCACCTCTCCATCTTTAAGGATTCAATCTATCTTGGATAGAAAATACTCAGGAGAAAGAAAAACTATCTATATTGAACATGTACAGGGTAAACTATTCACATGGTAATTTATTGAATTAGGTATAAGCACTTGAGAGAGATGACTTAAAGCAGATGAGAGGGCTGGGTATGGCGGTACATGCATATAATTCCAGCATGTGGGAGGCTGAGGCAAGAGGATTGCTAAAGTTAGAGGCAAGCCTGGGCTACATAGTGAGTTCAAGTTCAGCCTGAAATGCATAATGAGACCCTGTCTCAAAATAAAACCAAAAAAAAGTATATGGAAGGCTGTGTATAGGTTATTTGTAAATACGATGTCATTTTATATGAGACTTCAGAAGCTGCAGATTTCTGCATCATGGGGTCCTGGAACCAACACCTCAAAGATACTGAGTAATTGGTAACCTTTGTTTAAAGCATTTTCTAGTTTAAAAAATTTTATGAAAAAATACATTATATAATCTGACATTCACATTCTGAATTTTAAAAGAAGTACAAAGCATGTTTATACAATATAATCACCAGTAGCTTTTAAAGCATTTCACTCTCACTTATAATGATAATGACTGGAAAACATTTTAAATAACCTGTAGCATCTTGTGGTTTGTAGTGTTTTATTTAAAAAAAGCCAAGAATTAGAAAAGTAAAACTTTAAGGCCAGGTGCAGTGCAATGTGCTTATATCTCAGCTACTTATGACTCGGAGGCATGAGGATTCCAAGTAAGACTTAATATGGGCAATTTAGCAAGATTTAGTCACAACATAAAATAATGAAAAGGGCTAGAGATGTAGCTCAGTGGCAGGGCTCTTACCTAGCATGCATCGCGCTCTGGGTTCTATCTTCAATACAGGGATGCAGGAATCTTTGGTCAGTATAACAAAACTTTTGGTGTGGTGGTACAGAACTATAATTCCAGCACCCAGGAGGATTGCTGTGAGTTTGAGGCCTGCCTACGTAACATAGTGAGTTCAAGGCTAGGCTGAACTACATAATAAGATCCTATCTCAAAAAAACTAAAAAACTAGGTAAGATGGCACAGACCTGTAATCTGAGCACTCAAGAGGTCAAGACAAAGGGACTGCTAAGTACAAGGCTAGCCGGGGCGACACAGAGAGTTCAAGGACAGCCTGAACTGTACAGTGAAACCAGACCCTGTCTTGGAAAACAAAAACAAAAACAAAATACAAAAAAAAGAAAAAAAGATACTTTCTGAAATTGATATGTTCCAGTACAACATAAATGTACAGAAAATACTCAGCTAAAGAAAAACTGAAGAAAAAAATCAGGGAGGAAGGCACTTTAACTATGGGTTTATTTTTTGAACTATCATTTTTGTTCATCTTTGCTTCTTCTCATGCTTCACACACCATTACTTAAAAGTGTTAGACAGGCCCTCAATATGTACTCCAGGCTGACCTTGAACTCACTATATAGCCCAGTCCCAAACTCTTGTTGATCCTCCTGCCTCTGCCTCCCAAATGCTGGGATTACAGCTAAGTGCCACCATGTCTGGCTTCGTCATCACTTTGTTCTTTTCGGTTTTCTTTTTCAATTTTTTGAGTCAAGGTCATGCTGTGTAGGTTAGGCTGGTCTTGAGCTCACTATGCAGCCTATGCTGGCCTTAAATTTATAGCAATTCTCTTCTCTCAGCCTCCTGAGTGTTGGGATTATAGGTGTGCACTACCACACTCAGTGAACCATCATCATTTTTTTCTGCAGGGAAAAGATATGCTAGCACAAAGGCACAACAGTGTCAAATACACACTGTAAGGCGTGTCGCCTTGAGATCGTGCATTTTTCTTCAGTGGGTGGAAAGTTTAAAGTGTGTTCCTGCAGGTGCTAAGCACATGCAGCTTTGGCCCAAACCCTCATTTCACCAAAGTACCTTTGTACCTGTCTTCCTTATCAAGATTCCACAGAACATATTTGGTGATGATGCTTTCAAAATAGTTTAGAAATCTATGGACTACAGGGCATGGTGGCTCACACTTGTAATCCTGTCACTGAGGAGCCTGAGGCAGGGGGATTGCCAAGGGTCTCAAAGCCAAACTTGGGTTACACAGTGAGTTTGAGGCCAGCCTGGAATACATAGTGAGATCCTGTCTCAAAAACAAAAAAAGCAACAATAACAACAACAACAAAAAAAAAAAAAGGGGGGGGGGAGAAATTAATGGACTAAACTGATCACAAGTCACTTTTGACACAAGCATGCTTTGTAACTGAAATTTTACACTTTTGTTTTAAGATTTTCATTTTGTATGTTCCAAATAAAAGACCAATTTCTCTGTAAAGGTACCGAAAAGAAACTAGAGGCAGGAAAAATTAATAATCAAAGGAAGGGGCTGGGGATTTAGCTCAGCGGCATAAGTGCCTGCCTTGCAAGCAGGCAGTCATGAGTTCAATCCCTGGTACCGATAAAAAGGAAAAAGACAAAAAACAACAACAACAACAACAACAACAACAACAACAACAACAAACTATTAAATAATCAAAGGAAGTGTCATGCAGAATCCTTTTGCCAGCTAAGGGATTTGCTTGGTGTCACTGCAAATTCTCCTTTAACACATGTCGAGTTTAGAGTGTGCCGCTCACCCTTCCTCAGTAAGACAGCAGCTAAACTATGTTGCTCGTATGTCCAACTTCAATTTGGTATCCAAAGGATGAATACACTATAAATAGGAACTTTAACAAAAAGTGGAAGAAACTCACTGAAGTTACTCTCCTACAGATGGATATACTTTTAGATAATGTTTGCTTTTATCTTACAAGAGCATTATACACTGATTCATAAACATTTTTGCAAATAGCCTTATATGAATATTTTCCTCTGTAGAAGCTTTAATGCATTTTTGGGCATTAAAGAAATCTAGCAACACTAATGTTTTCATAATGTAAAAGGAACACAATCACTTTAGTTTAAATTTGTTAGAAAAAATATAAAAAATAAATTTGTTGGAGAGTAACAGAAAAGGCAGAACAGAATTCAAAATTAGAAAAAACAACCTTTTATTTTCTTTCCCCACATAAATGATTTGATGCCAAATGAGACTGAGAAATCATTCCAAAGAATGGAAAAACAAATAAAACATTTTACAATGTATATGTGCTGCCAAGGTGAGCACTAAAAACCTGAGTGTCTATAAGATAATAACATTTTCATATTTTATCAGGTCACCACAAACACAGCAATCTACTATTTTTTTCAACATTAGTTTAACAATGCTTTTGTTTTTATTTATTATTCTTTTACTGGTGCTGGGGACCAGAAACCAGGACCCTGAGTATGCTACGTAAGCCTCCACTGCAATACATCCTCTACTCTAAAAATAAAGTTTTAAAGCACTCATCAAAATCTGTTATGTGCTTAATCTAAACTTCCTTTAAATTCAAAGATGTCAATAACACACTATCAATTAACTATAATCTTAGTCATAGCATGACTTTATATTACTTAAAGCAAGATCTTTCAAACAAAGGTGGAAATGTTGAAGAATTTTCTCCCAAGCCAAGAATGGAATTTTGTACATTCTCTCTTTGGTGCTATCAGTTGGGGAACAGCTCCTACCCAGAAGGTTCCACAAATGACACTCAAGCCCCATAATAATTCCTCCTCTGACAAAGAAACAAAGTAGGAAGGCACCACAGCCAGTCTAAGCTGGAATGACAAACAGCTTTGACAAACTGCTTCAAGTTACACTCTGACTGTGAAAGACCCATACCCACCAGAATACAAACTGCTTGACAATTTTGTCAAGGAGGGACTCAGGCCTGGCTTCAAACACATACTGTTTTAAGACTAGATGAACATACTATATTCCTGCACTTATGATGGTATTCAACATTTCAGTTCTTTTAAGATCAGCTTCAAAGTTAGATGCTGGGTGTAGGCAAAATATGAATAAATTCTAGTACAGGAACTATGTTCTCAAGGTTGAAGACACTTGGTCCCTAGTAAAGGCAACTGTATTAAAGTAGCCAATGAATACGAAAGGGTACTCATAAAAGGATGTACTAGTCCAACACTCACAGGGACTTTCCCTTTTTTTTTTTTTTTTTGAGGTACTGGGAATCAAGGTCCAGAGATCTGTGCATGCTAGATTAAGTTCCACAGCCCCAGCCCACCCTTAGGTCCTCTTCAGAGCCTCAACACAACATGGGCAATTCTCAGTTATAACTGTTCAGAAAAACATGTGGTTTCCTTCTTTGAGGCATTCCTGGCACACACTGCTGCATGCTATTTATCTGGCTAAGTGACTGGAATGTACTTATCATGTATCTGCTCCTCAGGATCATCTGGACTGCAGCTGCCTGTCACATAAGATACACACGCAGGGGAGCCATGTGTAGAGCACACATTATCCCTTTTCCTACCTCTGCTAAACCCTATTTCTCTAAGTGCCACAAGAACCTCCTCTCATTCAGTGCTGAATGCCACTGCCTATGTGCACAACAGGAAGATTTTTTGGTCCCTGATGAACAACAGGTATAAAGCAGAATCGTGTTCCGGATCCCAAGAACTGGTTAAAGAAATGCTTGATTTTTCTCTTGAGATTTAGAAGTCAAAAAGCTATTTCAAGTTCTACCTTTTCTCCCCTTTAAAGTATTATTTATGAGGAAACAAAATAAAACAAAACAAAACAAAAACCACTTTTTTTGAGAAAGGGTCTCGCTATGTAGTTTAGGCTGGCCTTGAACTCACTATGTAGCCCAGCCTGGTCTTCAACTCCAAAAGTTTATCCTGTCTCAACCTCCAAGTACGCCACCACGCCCAGCAGGTGGTGCTTGTTTCTACCAAAATAGGCTTGACTCCTTTCAGGGACAGGACTTATCTCATTCAATACTTGTATCCATAAGGAAACAAAACTCAGTGCACTGGGGGACCTAAAAGTAAATTTAAGCCTGGAGTTTCCAAAGAAAGTGAGTTATGGACTCTGGTGTTCTGAAACTAAGGCAAGATACAGGCAAAACCTAACAAGAATAAAACAAAGCAATTAATAGCTGCACATGTAATAACTATTCATTTTTAACCAACTACCCCAACAACCCTTCCATCCCAAGAATAGAGGAAGGCTACCACTAAGGGCGTTCTGAAGATGCAAGTACAGGGAGTAGTAGTCTGAAAACCAGGAACTTTAGGACAGGAAAACTGTAATGCTCACAGCAGCACATCTCATCTTAGATACATCTCAGACATGGGCTGTATAGTGTGCGTGGGGGGGTACACTGAGGGGTTGAAAAAAAAATTATACAAGTCCTACCGAAGCACACCAGGGATACCTCTCAAATACATGTCTCTTGTATCAGTAAATGATTAGAGTAGAAAAGAGACTCCACCCGTGGCTTCCTAGGGTCTCTTGGCCAAAGGATACTCTTAGCTTCTAGAAACCACCAACCATGTTTTCTGAGGCTATACCTGTTTATTCTAGCTATTTTTATACAGAATGGAAGGGGAAAGAGTTAAAAATATGGGTTTTAGATTAACCAAAGTCTTTATTTACCAACTCAAGACAGTTCCTTTTATTCAAAATATCAGTTTCTGCATCAGTAAAATGCAGATATATATATATTCACTCTCCTAAAGCAGTTAGGAGAAGGCAGGATTAAATGAAACAAAACCAATAATGTTTCATCTAAAGCTCTTAGCACAATATTTAAATTACAGTTACTACTAGTAATTTTGGAAAAATCAGACACTTAATATGACTTACTTGTGGTAATTCTCCTTCTTCTCATCTCTCCAGTTTTTATTTAACTGGTGAATTTTCACAGCTACATACCTTTGCTCTGTTAGATCAAATGCCTACAAAAAAGGAATAAAATTATATTCTAGATAAATGCTAAAACAAATTACAGGGAACTGATTAGAAGTTTCTATTTAACAGATCAACACAAAGTCCAAAATACTCTATTAAATAAAAACAGCAGTAAGCAAAAGTATATCACATACTTGCTTCAGTGCTGCAATAATCTTGAAACTTGTGATTAGATAATTTAGAGGTCTCCAGACACACTGGCACCAAAGAGGTTAGAAAACAAACCCAAACATATACCACAGAGAACTAGCCCACGCGTTCACAGCCTCTTCTCAGTAATGCTCTTTTCAGAGTGTTATCTGTCCGCATTTGAGACTTTTCCCCCTTTATGTTGTTTCTTCCCCTTCAGCTGATGATGGGACATCATAGGATAACTCTTATACTTTTGAAACTCTCAAGTTATATACTATTTGCTTCCTGGAGAAAATAACCCCTCAGGACACAACGCTTTGGTAATTTGCAAAATAACCCTGTGATTTTGTATACTGTGCTTGTTAAAATAAAAACAGAAAGAAAACAAAACTCAGCCCTGTCTTTAGTCCCACTCCTATATGGTGAGTAAATGAAAAGCTTTAATCCAAAATGGCCAAAATTGGTCACATAAAAACCTCTCTCACACAGTCCAAAAATTGAGATTTCCACTCCCAAAGACCACCTCTAACACGTCCTGTATCAAGCATGACACTGCTATGTGAAAAAGGTTAATAGGTAAGTTTTTGAGGAACCCGTGAATAAATCACAATTTGATAAAATACTCTTAACAACAGATTTCTTCCACAAGAAACAGACATTTGATAAGAAAGGGAAATGACTAGGGTTACAAATTTGTTTCAATCTAGATGAAACAAGATCTTTCCATAAAAAATTACCAAAACTGACATAAAAAGGAGGAAAAACTCTGAATGAACATATATCTATAGAAGGAACTGAAAAGATACTCAATATTTTCTTCTAAAATAGTACCTGTCTAGATGGTTTTAATAAGTAATTTAAGGCAGACGTGGGGGCACCTGCTTGTAATTCCAGCATTTGGGAGGCTGAAACAAGAGAATCACCTCGAGGTGGAGACCAGTCTGGACTACTAGTGAGTTCAAGACCAATGTGAACTATTGTGGTGAGACTTTGTCTCAAAAAAGAAACCAAATAAATAAATAAAAGTCATAAGTCAGCTAAATAAGCTTTCAAGGAGCCTACAATTCCATGGTTACATGTAACGGGTAGAACATACAAAAATAAGGGCTGAGAATATTGTTCAGCCATGTAGTGTCTGTCTGGCAAGTGTGAGGTGCTGAGTTCAATTCTTGGTACGTACACACACACACACACACACACACACACACACACACACACACAAAGATAAAGGAATTTTACAACGCAATCTAAGGAGCTATGATACAGACACTGGAACATAGTATCGTCAAGAATGCAAGAAGAAAGGAAGCAGGTTCCCTGGACTTAGGAAGAACTTGATGTGTGAAATGAAGCCCACAGAGAGTAAAAAGAAAACTTCAACAAAGATGGTGAGAGCTGGCAGCAGCTCCTCCCTGAGCTGGACCCACAAGAGGAGCTATTGGAACCTGGGGAAGCAGGGACACAGTGACAGTAACGGTGACTCCAGAAGCCCCTGCAGAGACGTGGCAGTGGAGGGCAGCAGCGCACATGGAGGACTGCAATGGCTGGTGGTGAGTACAGAGGACTCAGTCTTCCCGTGGGAGAATGGCCAGGAGCCATTTTGGAGTCGGGCTGGAGAAGCCCAGAACCAGAACTGCTGTGGGCTTCCTCCAGCAGCTCCTAGCTGGGTGCAGACCCATGGAAACTGCTAGGTGTGGTGAGCCCAGCGAATCTGGTTTCAGGGCAGGCCTGCTAAGGTTATCCACTACTCCACTATAAAGGAACTGATGGTTTTGCTGGGACAAAGTGGGATGATCTGGGACTCTGTCTCTGTATGATGTCTACTAGTGAAACCAGAGAAAATCCTGGAAATGGACTGTTTTTCCTTTTCATTTTTTGTTTTGTTTTATTTAGTTCATTTTGTTTGTTTCTTTGGTTTTTTCCCCTCTTCTGTTTTTTTTTTAACCAGTGTGAGAAAGGTTCCTAACTTCTTTGTGGGTGTGGTTCTATTCTGTTCTTCTTTTTATCTCTTTCATCTCTCTTTTCCTTCAGTCTTCTACATGAGTTTCCCCAAGTTGGCATGTTCCACCTTTGTCCTCCGACTTTACTTGTAATCTCTTTCTCTTCTTCCACATCTCTATTTTCTCCTTAATCCATTTTAAATTTTGCCCAAGGGCAAAATTGACACATTATGGACTAATATATTGCATATAATTATCTGGTTTGTTTTACATTGTATATAATCACAAAATCTACTTCATATAGTTAAAAGTTACAAATTAAGTGTTTGTTCGGTTTGTTGGGTTATACGTTGCGTTTGATGATTATTGGTACCCCTATAGCCAAAACTGACATAATTGTTCTAAACAGCTGTTAGTGCTGATAATCCATGACTGAGATTAACTAAGAGTCACAGAAAATACAGTGGTACAGTGTCAAAGAACCCGGGACTAGGCCAAACAAGTAACAACTTCTCAAGAGGTAAGATCTTCCAACAGACTCAAAATCCAAAAACTAGCTATACCTGGAAGACACCTAGAGAAGTAATCAATACCTAATAGTCCTAAATAATACAAATAATGCAACCTACCATAGGCAACTTATTAGCATGACCCCAGGAACTAACTAAAAAAAGAAAAGAAATGAGAAGACAAATAAGATGCAACCCCAGACATCCTGTTCAGTAACTAAAGGCAAACACAGGGGAAAATGAGGTTGGACAATCCAAAACCCCCCATCAGGTCTCTCTGAAGTGGAAAGAACAAAGCAATTGAATGAGGCTCTGAAAAAACTGAAATCAGGAATAATCTCCCAGATAACTACAGAGATAACCAAAATACACACCATGTTTAATGAAGTTAGAATAGGCACAGATAAAAAAAAAATAGACAAGCAAATTATGGAAGCACAACATAGGAAAGAAATGGAATCCATAAAGCAGATGCAAGAAGATATCCAGGAGAAGAAAAACTGTATTGAAAGTATTCGAAGCAGTTTAGGCCAATTTGAGGATAGGATTTCAGGTATTAAAGACAAGTTTGCAGTTAGCAACCAGGAAAAGAAAGATTTCTCAAAACTAGCAAGGGATCATGAGAAATCAATCCAGCAGCTGCTACATGAGACAAAAAAAGAGTAATTTAAGATTAACTGGAGTCAATGAAAAAGCAGGAGATACCACAAATGATATTAAAAAATGTTCACAGATATCATGACAGAAAACTTTCCTGGTAGAGAAAAAGAATTTGACCTACAGATAAAGCAGGCATATAGAAATCCAATGAGCAATGATCAAAAAAAACCCTACAGCTAGGTGTATCAGAGTCAAGATTCCAGAAATTCAATGCAAGAATAGAATCTTAAAAGCTATTAGGGAAAAGAAACAAATCACTCATATGGGAAAGCCCATCAGAATCACAGCTGACTACTCAGCACAAACTCTCAAGTCAAAGAGAGCGTGGAGTAAAGTATTTCCAAGTCTAAAGGAAAATAACTTTTGACTGATATATCCTGCAAAACTATCTTTCAAAATTGATGGAGAAATGAGATACTTCCATGACAAAGAATACATGAGGCAATTTATGACCACCAAATCAGAACTCCAAAATGTTCTGAAAGACATTTTAGAAAGAGATAATAAGGACTACAGCTCCAGAAGGCAAACAATTGGAAAAAATGGGGGAACCAACAAGAAAATAACATGACAAGGATAAGTCAACACATTTCAGTTATAATCATTAACGTTCACAGTCTCAATTCACCAGTCAAGACATACAGACTGGTAGGATGGCTCAAGATGCAAAATCCAACAATATGCCACATACAAGAAACACATTTAATTAAAAAAAAATTCATAAACTGAAAGTCAAAGGATAGAAAACAATACTCCATGCAACAGGAACCCAGAAAAAAGCAGGGGTAGCTATTATATTTGCAGACAAAGTAAATTTCAAGATTAAGAAAGATAAAGGAGGTCACTATATCCTTGTAAAGGGAACAATCCAAGAAGAAGAGATAATCATAAATATATGTAGCAACCACCAGTACACTAAACTATATAAAACAATTACGAACAGAACCAAAAAGTCAAACAAGCCCTAATACAATTGTATTGGGAGACCTCAATGCCCCACTGTAAAAAAGACTGATCAACTACACAAAACACCAGTAATGAAATATGAGAACTAAATCAAACATTTGAGAAAATGGACTTAGTAGATGTCTACAGGGTGTTCCACACCACAACATCAGAATACACATTCTTTTCAGCTGTACATGGGACGTTCTTGAAAATACACTATATACTGGCTCATAGTATATGCTTAAGTAAATGGAAAGGAACTGAAATTATCCCATGCATACTATCAGACCACAGTACAATGAAACTAGAAATCTATGCCAAAGGAAACCACAAGAACTTTATAAACACATGGAAATTAAACAGCACCCTACTGAACAACCAATGGGTTACAGATGAAATTAAAGAAGACATTAGACAGTTTTTACAGCTGAAAGACAATGATAATATAACATACCAGAACTTGAGAGACACAATGAAAGCAGCCTTAAAAGGGAAATTCATAGCAGTAAATACCCACATCAGGAAAACAATGCAAGTGTATATGAACAGCTTAATGATGAGCCTCAAACTTCTGGAAAAAGATCAGGCTAAACCAAAAGCTTGTACAAGGCAGGCAATTATAAAGATCAGAGCAGAAATTAACACACTGGAGACTAAAACAACAATATAAAGAATGAATCAGAGAGTGGATTATTTGAAAGATTAAATAAAATTGACAAGTCCTTAGCTAACCTTATTAAAAAGGGGGGGGGGGACTCAAATCCACGCAATTAAGAATGAAAAGAATTAAATCACAACAAACCCTGCTGAAATCCAGATAATCATCTATACCTACTTTGAAAATTTGTATTCTAATAAGATGGGAAATGCAGAAGAACTGGACAGATTCCTAGATACATATGAATTACCAAAGCTGAATCAAGAAGATATAAAAATCCTAAATAAACCAGTATCAATAAAAGAAGTAAAAAATGTAATTAAAAACCTATCAACAAAGAAAAGCCCGGGCCCTGATGGATTCACTGCTGAATTCTACAAGAAATTTAGTGAAGATCTAACACCACTACTTCTCAAATTTTTTAATGAAATTGAAAGGGAATCAATTTATTCCTGGACACAATTATTACTCTGATTCCAAAAGCAGGGAAGGACCCAACTGAGAAAAAGAATTATAGGTCAATCTCCATAATGAACATTGATGCAAAAATCCTCAATAAGATACTGGCAAACAAAATGCATCAAATTGTTAAAAAGATTTAAACCATGACCAAGTGAGATTCATCCCAGGAATGCAAGGATGGTTGAACCCATATGTAAATCCATAAATGTAATACACCATATTAACAAAGCCAAGGACAAAAATATAATGATCTCAATAGATGCAGAAAATTTTTTGACACAAAGTCTAGTACCCATTCAAGAAAATAGGGATATAGGGTCTTTATCACCATCTGATAACAGCCATCTAGGACAGACCATACTAACATACTAAATGGACAAAAAAATGAAAGCTTTCACTCTAAAATCAGGAACAAGACAAGGATGTCCACTGTCTCCAGTCTTACTCAACATAGTCCTCAAAACTTTAGCTGGAGCAAATAGACAAGAGAAAGAATTAAAAGGAATAAAGATGGAAAAGGAAGTTCAACTATCATTATTTGCAGATGACATGATACTCAGAAGACCTCAAAAATTCCACCAAAAGACTTCCAGATTTTATAAGCAAATTTAGTAACAAGGGTGGTTACAAAGTTAACACTCAAAAATCAACAGCCTTCCTGTATATGAATAATAAGCTCACTGAGAAATCAGAGAAACAAAAACTTACACAATAGCACCCCTAAAAATGAAATAACTAGGAATCAATCTAACAAAGGATATAAAGCCTCTACATTGACAACTACAGTAGTCTGAAAAAGGAGACTGAAGAGAATATTAGAAAATGGAGAGATATTCTGTGCTGTTGGGAAGGAAAAACCAATACAGTGAAAATGGCCATACTTCCAAAATTGTTACACGGATTCAATACAATCTCAATCAAAATTCCAATAGCATGTCTCACAGAATTAGAGAAAACAATCCTAAAATTCATCTGGAACCAGAAGAGATCCAGAATAGCAAAGGCAATCCTGGCCAACAAAGACAAGACAGGGCATCACAGTCCCTGACTTGAAATTATACTATAAAGCTACTGTGATAAAAACAGTGTGGTACTGGCAAAAAAAAAAAAAAAAAAAAAAAAAAAAAGAACAAAACAAAATCCAGACCTGAAGATCAGTGAAACAGAGTAGAAGATGTAGAAACAATTGCAGACATACTGAGCCACCCTATCTTTGACAAAGGTGCCAAATACTTTCATTAGAAGAAAGATAGCCTCTTTAATAAACGGTGCTGAAAAAACTGACTCTGCACATGCCAAAGATTAAAACTGGACCCGTATCTTTCACCATGTACTAAGCTAAAATCAGAATGGGTCAAAGATCTTATTATTAAAACAGAAACATTAAATCTGCTGGGAGATGAGTAGGTAAAGCTCTTGAAGACACTGGTGTAGGCAAAGATTTTATAAACAAAATCAGACTGCACAGGAACTATCACAAAGAATCAACAACTGGGATCTCACCCTACTGAAAAGCTTTTCTGCAGCAAGAGAAACCACCAAAAGAGGTAAGAGACAATCCACAACATGGGAGATAATTTTGTCAGCTTTTCCTCAGAAAAAGGGTTACTATTGAGAACATACAAAGAACTCAAAAAAATTAGTCCTCCCACATTTAAGACCCAATCCACAAATGTGCAGCTGAGTTTACACTTGTCAGATGAAGGAATACGAACAGCAAATAAATACATGAAACAATGTTTGAAATCACTAGTCATCAGAGGGATGCAAATTAAAACAACACCGGGATTCCACCTCACTCCAGAAAGAATGGCTGTTCTCAAGAAATTAAGCAATAACAAATGCTAGAGGGGCTGTAGGGAAAAAGGAACGCTTTTCTACTGCTGATGGGAGTGTAAACTGATGCAACCACTGTGGAAATCAGTATGGAGATTTCACAAAAAACTAGGATTGGTGGTCCCTTTCAATACCAGCTATTCTCCTTCTGGGTATCTTCCCAAAAGAATTAAAAACATCATACCACAGTGATATACGTGTACACATGTTTATAGCAGCACAGTTTATAATTATCTTGAAAACAACCTAAATACCTATCAACTGAGGAATTGATAAAAAAAAAAGTGGTATTTTATATAATGGAGTACTACTTAGCTATAGAAGGATAAACTGGATATTTTTATAAGTAAATGGATGCAACTTGAGAACATACTCAGTGAAATAAGACACATGTGTAAACATTGTATTGCTTCATTAGTGTGACAAGCTGAAAGAAAAAACATACAAATGTGTATGTGTATGTATTTAAAAAAATATTTAAGATAATTCTACTACTGATTTCTCTGAGTTCACTGATGAGAAAGATCTGTGCTGGTATTGTTCGGACAATTAAATGCAGATGTCTTGTGCTCTGCGTGAATGATTTGGGGATGAGAATGGGCAATGTATGTACCATTGTTGCCTCCTGATTGACATGTATTGAAATTTTGTTGTAGTTTTTCTTCTGCTTCTTTTTCCTTTCTTTTTATCCTTAAATAAAATAGATTTGAAAAGAAAAAAAAATGAGTTGGGATAACTGTGATATGAAAATTCCATGAGGCTATTTGCATCAAAGGATGACTATTATGGCTGCCTGTCAGATTTATGAGGACAGAATAAAATACTATAAAATCAAAATCAGTGGTACCCTAAAAAAAGGTTTATGCTTCTGGATAGTGATGACAGTTACACAAAACTGTGAACATACTTAATGCCACAAAAAAGTTTAATTGTAAATATATTCATGGGCCTGGGATTTAGCTCAGCGGCATAAGCACCTGCCTAGCAAGCACAAGGGTGTGGGTTCGATTCCCAGTTCAAAAACATTAAACAAACAAACAAAACTAGATAAATATACTCATAATGAAAATACAAAAAAATTTTTTAAAAAAACATAAAAATTAGTTTTTACCTGAGATGAAAACAGTATCTTACTCAAAAGATTTCTCATGGTCATATGGACATAATGCAGTGATGGTGAACCTATGACATGCATGCCGCAGTGGGCTGTATGTATCACTGAAAGTCATAAAAGGTTCACCATCACCGGCATAATGTAAATCATAACAGTGAAGGCCACATCTTAGAAAACAGGAAATTCCCTCAACTGTGCAATGATGACTACTCAGTAAAGCAATTCTGCATTGCACAGCCAGGTGCACAAACATATAGAGAAACTGCTGAACATGTTCTGAAGCTACATAAATTTAAAACTGGCTAAATTTTCCTACTTGGTGAACATCAGTACTTTGCTGGCCTCACTGAAGCACTCTAAGTGAGGATATTCTTTCAGAATACAATGCTAAATCGTCTTGAGAACTGTTAAAACAAAAAGCTGGCTTTTAAGTAACAAGTTAACTAGTATAGTAAGCTTCATTTCACTAAAAAAATTTACAAAAATAAGGTAACACTACTCATTTGTAGTAATTATGGATGATCTAGAACAGAAATCACCATAATTTTGTCACCTAGAAATGAGCGCTGTTTTTCCTTTATATATATATATATATATATATATATATATATATATTTATTAAAGAGGAAAAAAGTTTCAAAACAAGATAATAGGACAGTAACAATAGTTAATACATCACATATTACTATCTTTAAAGTAGTTACTCAGAGCATAAGACATTAGTATTTTTCAAGCTAGAAAATAATAAAATATTTTCTCTATTTCACTTAAATGTACTGGAAGCAGTTTCCCCAAAGATATATAGGTTCTTACAGTTTTTAATTGCAACCAGTATGTATTAATCCAGTTATCACTATTCTAAATGTTCTCCAAGTTGGTAGCAGTTGATTTTTGTCCTTTTTACCAAATTGTTCATACTTACCTTGTAAACTTCACTGAAACCTCCTCTACCCAAAAGATGTAACAACAAATATCTATCATTCAGCGTTGGATGATCTTTAAATCTGTGGAAAAAGTTGTAACATCCTATGGTCAAGAAGGAGAACCTTCTGTATTTTCAAAATTCCCAGAATGCCTATATACGATTACAGCTGTGGGTGATAGTTCCCAAAACCAAATGATGGAGAGCAGATTAGAATAGAGTAGGGGTTTTTTAACTGCTATTTGGCTACTGCAAAGTATTCAAGAGGCACACATTCACAACATTCCAAACTTTTTAGAGTAAAATTCCAAGATATTTTACAGTCTTGAAAACACAATTATAAAGTGAGTTACACCTTCTATTTTACATTCATTTTTCTCTTTTTAAATCTGTGGTACAACTGCATTTCCATTAGTCTATCTTGTGTCAGTTTTTTGTTTTTTTTTGGTACCAGGGATTGAACTCACAACGTCTAACTTACCAGGCAGGCACTTAAGACACTGAGCTAAATCCCTGGCCCCTTGTGTCAGTTTTTAACAGTATAACCAAGCAATGATAGATTCAGGTAAAAAATAAAGTTTAAAATATTTGTACTTGCTTCCTGATCTTAAACAGCCTATTAATAAATTATTTTAAGAAAGCAGCATGCCCATGAAGATAGATGACAATACTGTATGATCCATATGTGATTCTGGTCACACTAGTTATTTTAGGCTTCTCGACAAAATTTTTCTTTTTTCTCTCCTTTATTTCATTTTACTTATTTATTTATTTTTGTCTTTTTTGAGACAAAAGTCTTGCTATGCAGTTCAGGCTGGTCTCAAGCTCAATTTGTACCCTGGGCTGGTCTCAAATTTGCAACAATCCTCCTGCCTCAGCCTCCCGCGTGCTGGGATTACAGGCTTGCACCACCATGCCCAGCTTTTTTCTTTTCTTTTTTGAGACAGGGTCTCACTATGTATATAGTCCAGGCTGGATCTGAACCCTTAAACTCACTATGTAGTTCAGGCTAGCTTTGAAGTCACAGCAATCCTCCTGCCTCAGCCTCCCAAGTGCTGGGATTCCTACCACAGCTGGCCTAGATGAAATTTTTCTCATCTTGTTTCCTGATCAATGTACTGAAGATGACAGTTATGATGAAGATTAATGGTGAGAATACAACAGCTTAGCACCATGCCTGATAACATGAGTTCTCAGTGAATGAGGGCTGCTCACAATTGCCACTTGGCAGAGAAATGGCTCATGACTCATATCAATCAAACAAAAATATGCAACTGCAGCTATGTGAAAAAAAGTTTCAGTCAGAAATATGTGGGAAAAAACCAATTACTGGTAAAAGACTTTTCCCACTTGCAGTCTACTTTACCAACACTGAGTCCTTTAAATGACTTATAGACAAAGGTGAGCATTACTTTCCAATTAATGTGGAAGAATTAAGTCTTTTTTGGTGTTTTTAATTTTTGAGACATGAACTCTCATTAAGTCACTAAATTGCCCAGGTTAGGCTCAAATTTTCAATCCTCCTGCCTCAACCTCCCAAAGTGATAAAATTAAAGATGTGTACCACCACACCTAATTAAGTCTTAAAACCTCAAACCCTTTCATTCAGAAAGTAGTTGTCACCTCAGCCTAATAATCTTCCCACAACACCACACCGTGATTCGCACTTCTTTTTCTCAAGGTTCTATAGGTAATATGGAATATGTGGTGCTCCTTGCCCATTTACAATTGCAAAATGTACTGTTTTAGTGACATCTACCTGTATAAAAATGTGGTTTACACATATTTAATAAATTTAGGATGTATTTAAAACCAAAGCAGATCATAATATTGTTGGTGAAATTCTCCTATGCTACAAACGAGCTAAGTAAACCAGGCATCATGACACATTCCTATAATCCCAGCACTCTGGGAGTCTGGGGCAGTAGGATCACAAATTGAAGCCCAACTTAGTCAACTTAGCAAGACCCTGTCTCAAAAGAAAAGATTATTAGAGGCTAGGGATATAGCTCAGTCTGAAGGCCTTAGGTTTAATAATTTATCCTAGAGGTTATTTGCCAAATTTACATTATACGAAAACATTCTAGACCATTTCTATTCATGTTAGAAAGGACCCAACAATCTCCAACCCAGTATATCCCAAGTTGCTTACTGTGAATTATCTTCATTATGTATCCTTTTTAGTTCCCTGATATGTAAATTTCTAACCCTCTCTAGCCTTTCCAGCTCGGCCTGGATCTCTGCTTCCTCCTGAAGTGAAAAGGAAAGAAAGCTTAGAATACAGGGAATTCTATCTTTTCAGAGTCTCATCTTTAAAAAATAACAGCTGTTTATCTTATGAAAAGCTAAAGGAAGATATTTTGCATTAAAAAAATACTTTTAAAAAAACAACAAAAAACTAGACAGTAAGTAAAATCCAAAACATACAGAGGAATTAAGGGGGGAAAGTAAAAGTCCTCCACTCTTTCCTTCCTCCTTTCCACACCAATTTTCAAGATATAACCATTGTTAACTTTTGAGAAATGTTTTATGCATAGGCATACAGATATGTACTTTTACAAAAATCAGGTTTCCATCTGTTTCTATTCTCTGCGCACAAATTATACTTGGTGTCGCCAATATTACTGATTTAATGAGATCTGAGAATCCACTGTGAAAGAAAGATGAAAACGAGTAGGTGAAATAAAACATAGCAATAGCAGTTTATTGAATGTCTTTTGTTTTGATTTTGTTTGTTTGTTTTGAGACAAAGTCTCACTATGTAGTTCAGGTGACCTTAAGCTCACTATGTAAGCCATGCTGGCCTAAAAATCATGGCAATCCTTCTGTCTCAGCCTTCTGAGTGCTAGGACAGGTGTGTGCTACCAAGCCTACTTATCAAATGCTTACTAAACAACCCCTCACTATAAACAGTATGCACCAATAATGCATGGGCTGCTAAACTTAAGAGCTGAGCATTCCACATCCAAGATAGCTCCATGACATCAGCAACCAGTTGTGTACATTCCTTTGTATTAGAGTATGTTGGTACAGCTTCTTTCTAGCTAGTTTTAAGCAAGACGTACTGCTACGTGATTTAAAATAGCACAAGGAACATGCATCCCATCATTAGATTATAGACACAACAGGGAAGGTAGCTATTTAAGATTTCTATAGCTACAAATGAAAGGTTGAAGGAAGGTGGGATAAATGGGAAAAAAGAATTAAGATATATTATGCACAGGTACAAATTCCCTATGATGAATGTGATCATTATGTTTGACCAACATACTAATAAAAAGAATAAAACTAGAAGAAAAGATTCTGTAGCTATGAGAAATATCTACAGTTTTTCTCAAATGACCAAATAATTCTATTTTAAATGTAAATTAGAAATCACTTTTTTCTAGGCAGATTTTTTCATTATGCCTACCTTTTTCAGATGGCCTAATCTGAGTTTGAAGATTTCTTCTTGCTCATGGTATTCTGCTAATGTTAACCTGGAAAATAAAGACAGAAATTTAGGTAAGCTACTTGAAATCACAATGTACCTATTTAAGGAGAAACACTCAGGTACACTATAAAGGTTTCTTAGGCAGTAACCATTGTTTCACAGTTAAAAATGACTCACAGTTAAAAATGACTAAAGTTTATTTTTGTGATCTTCTGATAAAGGAAAACTTGTGATTCATCACACATGATATGAAGAAAGGCTTCCAAAGCCAAAAAGAAGTCTATTTGTAAAAAGTTAGAAAAATAAGTGACCATATTTTTACATTATTTATAAAATGCATTTTATCTCTTATTCATGAAAATCTATTTAAGAGAGGGACAACCAAACATTTCAAGACTAAAAAAAAATTTTTTAAGGGCAAAACAAGCCAATGGATCGATCATTCTTGGTAACTCTTAGACTTTCATTTTATAGTAATGAAGAGAAAGAGCAAAATTAGGACCCAGGATTTGGGCTCCAGCAATGTAAGCTACAACAAGCAACTTTAACCTCTTAACTCAGTTACCTAAAAACCATTCAAGTGAGAATACTTGCCTAATAAAATGTTGAAAAAATGAAAAGCATAAGAAATACTACTTAGATCAATTCTCTAAGAAGTGACTTAAAAGGGTAACCACTCATTTCATATTCTGTTTGGTTGACTTACATCCTTATACTTCAAGAACAAACAAGTAAGAAAAGATCATCTTACTCTTCTATCTCTACTAGTTAATGTAGAATTGTTTAGATTCACTCTAAACAGGAGAAAAAGGAAACAGCTATCCTATGTAGCAAGAAGGGTTCCAAAAGTCTAACTCAATAAAACAAAATGAGTATGTAGTAGCACATCCACTAGGTAGAGTTATTATATGTACTCATGACAGTTGCAAAAATATATAACTTATTTCACTCATGTTAAAAAAAAAGACAGAAAGAAAAAGAAAATAGGATAAATAAAAGATCATAGCTAAGGAATCTCTCTGCCTGAAACAGGTTCAATTCTATGAAAAGGATGAGGTGACTTACTGAGGCCTGTTTTTGAATTCTGGTCAAAGGATACTCTAGAAAGTGTACTGATGGCCTCCCAGCTTGGATTCTGCATAGGAAATCAGTTGACAGCTGCTCACTGATACACTACTGGCCTAGTCTTAAATTTTAATTGTTGTTCCACAGTAAAACAAACAAAACACAAAACCTAAGCCTTCTTTATCATTTTTAGGTAATGGTCTTATGAATTAATATTAAATAATTATTAAGAAATATTAAATTAGAGTCCTTTCACAATATAAATAGAACTCATGATAGAAAACAATTATGACCAGATTGATTTGTTCAGTCTTTTACATGTAGGCCCTTACTTAAGCTTTTTGAAAAGAAATACCTATATTTAGACTCTAGTTTTAAAATATCTCGCTATAAGATTAAAAATGTTTTTCAAACTTATTTCAGTATATATACTTTTATTACTAAATGTAATTTAAAGTTTATTGATCTGCTTAACTCCTCCAAATAAATTGTGAATTCCTAACATGGGTACTCTTTAGCTCAGTATTGGGCCTATCATAAAATAAGCATTTAACATAGTTATTAATGAATGTCAAAGCATGTATGAGATTAGAAATGCTGTTAAGCTATTATTCTCTCTGGAATAAAGAAATAGCACTTCTAGGATGTTACAGACCTTTAACAATTATGTAACATAAGTAGAACACTTGAATTGTAAGGTAGTATGTTTTGAGGAAAAGATAAAAGGAACATTAGTCAATAGGTTATATAATAAAATACTTTTCATTTGGGGCTCTTTGGATATGAAATTCAATTAAAGAAAAAAGGAGAGAGGAATGAAGGAAAGCATTTTTACTCTGGATTTTCTACCTTTCATACATGACAGCTATGTCATAAGGTTGATAGGCAGGTAAAAAGATGACTGTACTTCAAGATCTTTAGGTTTCCAGAACAGACAAAAATTCTCACAAGGTCAGGATCTGGCCTAGTAGGAAAATGTTTTTTTGTGTGTGTGCACATGTGGCTTACTCCGTAGTTTATTACTGTTAGTTAAGTACTCTTCTGAGCAATAAGAAGCACTGTGCAGCCGTAACTAGTAGTCAGGCAACTCCCATAATGTGATATTAATGTACTATAATCTACAGCTACTTATAAATAAAATCCTGACATTTTGTTATGGGCAGCCAAAAACTGTGATGTCAAGGAGTAATATTACTTTCCCCTCTCATTCAAAATTCTCATTTAAAAAACAAAAAGAGACAGGCATGATGGTGTACACCTGTAATTCCAGCACTGAGGCAGGATGATTGCTGTTAGTTGAAGGCCAATCTGGGCTACACTGTGAGTTCAAGACTGAACTACATAGGGAAACCCCGTCTCAAAACACAAATGAATCAAAAGAGTGAGGTAAGAAAATCAGTTAATTTTACATGGTTTGTATATGAGTTGAACAAATTCATTAATGACTAAAAATGCTTAAACTCCAGAGACCTCTACAAATGAAACTGTTCCCAAAGGCATTAAATGGGACATCTGTATTTTAGGGGAGGGTATAGCATCACAATTCACATCAATAAAAAACATACGTTTCATTTTCAGCTCCATTGGTCTTGCTTTTCCGTTGTTTTTGCTCATTGGTTGCTGGAGGGGCCTGACCCATGGCAGGAGGTTTCCGCTTTGCTAACATTTTCCGCTGTCTTTCTATTTCTTCCCTCTGAGAATTTATCCTTTCCTGTTGCCTACAGATATAAAGATGTGGCATAAAGGAGGAAGGTAAAAAAAACTTCTTGTCATGGTTATAGAACACAAATAACTTTGTTACCTGGATGTTTGATAAATTTCAGAAAAAATAAGCCCCTCTAAGTCAAATGGAGATGAGTATTTAACTTTCAAGGTATAGGAGTCAAATAGCTGGTAAGATTTTCTTGAAATGAGCCTGTGCTTTCCGCCACTGATTATGTCTTCTTCTTCTTCATTTTTTTTTTTTTTTTGCGGTACCGGAGATCTAACTCATGACCTCTCGCTTGCCAGGCAGGCTCTTATGCCACTGAGCTAAATCCCTGGCCCTCACTGATTATGTCTTAAAGGAGATGGAAAGTAGACCAGGAGGAACATATCAGATTTCTATCATGACTTTACTTTCTGATGAGAAAGAATTTTCTGATTCCTCTTTAACACTTAATTAAGAAAATGATGCTGTCAGCTGGGTATGGTGGTGTACTCTGTAATCCTAGCACTCAGAAGTTTGGAGGTAGAAAGACTGCTACAAGTTCAAGGCCAGCCAGGACTACATAGACAAGACCCTGTCTCAAAACAACATCAAGACCCTGTCTCAAAACAACAACAACAACAACCACCTCCACAACTACCTCACTGTTGTAAGTCTATCAAAAAGAAAGATTTGAGCTGGGGTGCTTGGTAGTGCATGCCTATAATCCCAGTACTCTGGGAAGCTGAGAAAGGAAGATCAGAAGTTTGAATCCAGCCTAAGCAATTCAACAAAATCTTGTCTCAAAATAAGTATTAAAAAAAAAAAAGGCTGAGGATGTGGCTCATTGTCAAAACCTCGTTTTCAATCCCCAGTACTGGGGGTGGGGAAAGAGGTAAAGATCTGACCTGGGTACAGTGGTGTTTGCCTATAGTTCCAGCTCCCCAGGAGACTGAGGTAGAGGACTGCTTAAGCCCAGGAATTTGAATCTAGCTTGAACAACACAGAAAGACACTACCCTCAATAAAACAAAACAAAAATAACAAGAGTGAATAAATAAAATTACAAAAAACCAAAGTGAAGATCTGTATTTCATTTTTAAAAAAAAGGGACAATATGTTCTAAATATCTTTTTGTTTTGTTTTGGGTCAAATGTCCTCAAATTTTATTTAGACAAAAAATTTGTACAATGCTAAGCAAAATAAGTAAGATTTTCATTTTAGGCTTTTCACTTACTCCAGTCTAAGTGAGGCATCATTATCTTCTGAATCAACCCTTTTGAATGAAATAGCCTCCAAGTTTCTTTTTTTTAAATACAAGGTCTTGCTGTTTAATCTAAACTGGCCTCTATTCACATGAAGTGCACAGTCTTGCCTCAGTCTCCAAATGGGGGGGATTACTGGCGTGTGCCACCACACCTGACTTACTAAGCACTTAAAAAAACCCTATATTCACAGACAATCAATGAAGTCTTACCAGTAGTAATTATTCCTTAGAGAATGTGACATAAAATGAACTAGTATAAATATTAGTATTTCATAAAACATTGGATACATTACATCATTACTACTGGCATATTTCCTAACAAGATACTTAATTTTTCTGTAAGAAATTTTATTTTAAATATTTCTTAAAAGTTTCTTTTTCTAATCCAGGGATGGTGATGCATGGCTACAATCCATGCAATCTGGGAGGCCAAGGGAAGAGGGTTAAACGTTTCAGCCCAGCCTGGGCAATTTGGCAATTAGCCAGACACCATCTCAAAATTTTAAAAATTTTAAAAGGGCTCAGTGTGTAGTTCACAATGTGAAGACTCTGGATCCAATTCCCAGTAACACACACACACACACACTCACACATAGAACTTTCTCATCTCTTGTTCTGAACTAATCATATCTGCAAAATGATGAAATCTGTTTTTAAAAATCTCTGGAGGTGGGAGATATAGCTCAGCAGCATAGTGCCCATCTCGCAAGCATGAGATCTGAGTTCAATACTTAGTACCAACAAAGCAAAACAAAACACCAAAAAAAAAAAAAAAACAAAACCACACAAAAACAAAACCACATTCTACCCTCTTTCATAAGCAAAGTAGTTGCCACACGTTTTCTAAATTCAGGATATCTTTCTCAGTAAAATGGCAAGCAGACGCATGCCTACAGTGCAATTTATGCTACTATATAAAAAAAGGGCAATGCTATTAAAGCAAGGTTAACCTAAATAGAGTATTACAAATAAATAAGCATTCATCTGACAGGACAGTTGATTTGGATTAAAAATGAGCCAGATCACAGATTAAACATCCATTTAACAGTAAACAGATTAGTTTAAGAGCTGTGTTTACCTGGAAAAAACTCTTTTATTATTAGATATGCCTTTCTGTACTCCCCACTTAAGTATTCACACATGTACACACTCATGTGCACGAAATAATTTGTGCTTTAAAGTATTCTGGGTTGGGAATTGGGCATGGTGGTGCACACCTGCAATTCCAGCAGTTGGGAGGCTGAGACAAGAGGATCATGATGAGTTCGAGGATAGCTTGGGTTACACATTAAGTTGAACATCAGCCTGAACTACATAGCAAGACTCCATTTCTAAAGTCAAAAAAAGGGCCGAGGATTTAGCTCAGTGGCATAGGTGCCTGCCTGGCAAGTGCAAGGTCATGAGTTCAATCCCTCGTACGAAAAAAAAAAAAAACAACAAAAAACCAAAAACATAAAAGAAAAACAAAAACCCCCACATAATCGGTAGGATAAACCAGATTTCAAAAATCTAACCTTATGTAGATTTTAGTTCAATGTTTAAAATTTTTATACTTCTTATATTTTAATTATATTTTTATTCATTTATCAAAATAATGCTCAATAGGCTCCTTATGAAGATCTATTACTTAGGATCTATTTAGGCTGGGGGTATAATGTCATGATAATAGTGCTAACATAGCACATGTGAGGTTCTAGGTATGATCACCAGCACCCTCCCCTACAAAAATCTATTACCAATTTAAAAGATATCAAGAAAAAAACCCGAGAATTTCCTTCCTTAGCTTCAGCAATTTTGATTCTTTTAAACTTTAATGTAGTTTTTGCATTTATTTCTTTGGTTATTTGTGCGTGCGTGCGTGTGTGTGTGTGTGTGTGTGTGTGTGTGTGTGTGTAAGATTTCACCTTATTTCCTGTTTCTTTACAGATGTAATTAAAAAATTAAATGAAAATATGACTATCACAACTATGATTAATGATGATTATAGCAAACTTAAAAATATCCAAAATTTTCAATTCTTCATTTAACCATAGCTACTCACTTACTTGATAAGATTTTGGAAAGCATAACCATCTGTCCATTGTTCAGTAAAGGAGGCCCCATGTCGGACAGTAGTAAAGTGGCCCAATCTCAAGCGGTCCTGCATGCTTTTATCTCTACATGCCATCTTCTCTTGTTTTGACTTAAGGGAAAAGGATTAAAAAAAAAAAAAAAAGAAAAGAATTCAACAGCACATTACTATAGAAGACAATTGTTGAAACTCAAAATTCTAAGAGTATGAAGGAAAATACCATTGAAAAACCATACTCAGAACAGTCAGTACTGACTCCTTGGATGACATACTATTGCCATTTAAACAAAACAGACAGAATAGTTAAGAACTGCAATTTCTTTTTTGTTTGTTTATTTTTTGAGACAGGGTCTCAACCATGCAGTTCTGGCTGGCATTGAATTCTTGGCAATCTTCCTGCCTCAAGCTCCCAAGTACTAGGATTACAGGTGTGTACTACCACGCCTGGTCCTGAAACTCCTTTCTTCTATTTATTTATTTATTTTTTGGTACTGGGGATTGAACTCAAAATCTCACACTTGCAGGCACTTACGCCACTGAGCTAAACCTCCAGCCTACAAATCCTTTCTTGATAAACATTCAGCATCCCATAACAATGCCTAACTCTGAAGCTATTTCCCTATTTTCTGTTTCTTCTTCATCCAGTCTATTCTAGAGAACTGCTACCAATTCATCTCAAAATATTACTGGGCACACTCTCTCAGTCTGACTTCTCACTTAGGACATCTTACATATTCCTGAGTCATGAGCACATCATTCTTTCCACATATATTTACTCAAAACCAATTATATAACAGGGACTACAAGTCAACTTTATAGAGAACATGGGGGGAAATTGGTATTTACTGCCTACAGAGTGAATATACTAACTTATGTTTATAATTAAAATGTGATAAAGAACTTGAAGGAAAAGAGCAAAATACTGTAAGAGATGATACTCCAATGATACTTGAGGTATTTTAAATATTTCTAACAGGCAAGTAATTCATATCTACAGTTTTCTTTGCCTAGAAACACATTTTTTTAAACTGTCTTCTAGCATTCTCCATGCCTTTGATTTCTTCTAGTGAATTTCTTAAGTATACTGCTCACTTTGACAGATTTCTTTGTAGCTATGAATGCATATCATCCCCCACCTTCACTCCCTATACACTGCTAGTCTTCTGAGGAGAGGAACAGTGTTCTGTATTTCTTAAATACATGTACGTTACTCATATGTCCAAGTTCATTGCTTTTCTTTGCTGGATACTATTCCATGGCATAAACATAATACAGTTTGTTTATATGTTTACCTGTTGTCAGATTCTTGTGATATACACCCACATTCTGGCAACTTTGAATAAAACTGCTATAAATATTCTTGTGAACGTCTTTTGTCAACATTTATTTTCATTTCTCTCAGGTAAATACTAGGAATAGTCCCTATAGTGAGCCACAGGTTAAATATTTATTTAAGACACTGCCCAAAAGTTTTCCAAAGTTAATGTAATATTTTACATTTCCAATAGTGTGAGAAGCTGGGCTGCCAACACATCTATACCACGTATGATGTTCCCAGTGTTTTTACTTTAGTCTCTGTTGGTTTTTAGCTTGAGTCTACCTGATGCCTAAGAACGTTGAGACCATGTTGACTATTTGCATATCTTTATATACCATTTTTTATAAAGTGTCATTCAAGATATTTTGCTCACTTAATTTTTTAATTACTAAGTTATAGGGATCTTCATGAATTTAGAATATAAGTTCTCTGGGAGGTAATACTGTAAAGCATTACAGTATTACCAAGCAATGGTGATATTTTTGTTATCTTACATTCAGAATGGCATACTAAATATTTAATATATATTCTGTAACTTAGAAAACAGAATTATTTTGGATACCAATCTAAATGTAATTGTAACCTACTCCTAACAAAGAAAATTCTAAATTTCTATGAAAATTCAAGAGACAGCATTATTTTTTTCTTCTTTTGTGTACTATGTTGTTCAGAGTGTGTTACAACTGGCTGAATCCATGTTGATTTCAGAAAATGTCCCAAACTCTAAACAGACTCTAACTAAGCATATGCTAGTCATACTCAGCCTATTTTTCATTCATATGAAAATAGGAAACAAGTTCCCATCTATAAAACTGATGAATAATTAAAGAATAGAGCAAAGCTCATCCTACTATCTCCGTCGTGCAGTAGGACAATCCATTTCACTTTCAATGAAACACAAGTGCCATCTCTTTAACAGCACTCCAAAGTTTTCAATAAAAGCAGCCATCTGTGTGTCTCAGACTTCTAGCTCAATCTTAACATCTTTAGAAGGCACTGCTTTTTTAAAACTTCAAGAAATAGTAACTAATAACTATTCAACCCAAGCTACAACTAATCAATTGCTCTAAATAAAAGAGATATGAGACTGTATGTGGTAGTGCATGCCTGTAATCTCAGCACTTGGGGTACTGAAGCAGGATTACATGCTGGAGACCAGTCTGTGCAGCTTAGTAAGATTCTATCTCAAAACAAAACAAAACAAGATGGAAATCTGAGGATGTAGTGTAACGGTCCTAGATTTAATTCCTAGCACTGTAAAACAAACAAACAAAGGAGACATCAACAGTCAGTCTATAGGCCAGGCATGGTAGTACATGTCTGCAATCTTAGCACTCAGGAAGCTGAGGCAAGAGGATCACTTAAGAGTTCAAGCCCAGCCTGGGCTGCACAGTAAGTTCGATGTCATTTGAACTATACAGCAAGAGCCTGTGTCAAACAAAACAAAAACACACACACTATATACATATATATATATATATATATATATACATATATATATATATATATATATATATATATATATATATATCTTTACTTTTGAAGCACGAAGCACATAACTATCACATTATTATATGCAAAAGGTATTCCAAACACTCCAAAATAGAAACACAACTAGTGCCAAATGTTTGTAACAGTGATAGTACATTCATTTAAACTGATGGATGGATATGTGAATTTAAGAGAACATCATCTCAGGCTGGGGCTGGGGCTCAGTGATTGCTTGACTAGCATGCATAAGATCCTGGGTTTGATCCCCACACAATGGGTAGGAGCATGAGGGCAACAGACCAATAAACTCAACTAAGGTAAGCTGTCAGCATCACAATCAAAGCAATGAACAGTCAGAAAACATGCCCCACATTTTCTCTCTGGAGATCTGGTATGATTTACATGCAAAAACATTCTAATTGTCAAGTTACAAGAGGTGGTTTCCCAAAGAGCCTTACCTTTCAATACTTTCATTTCAGGTAAGAAGAAGCCATACAATGAAACACATTAAGTATCTCAGGATGTGGAGTTCAGGCCACCATTATTCACTAACCTTTTCTATAAGGAGTTTCTTGCTCATTGTGACACACCTATTTAATCGTTCTTTGTATTTCTCTAGCATCTTTTGCTGTTCGTCAATTTGCCGTCTTAAATCACAGTTGGCCTTCAATGGAAAAATATTTTTTTAATTAGTTCCAAGAAAGCTAGATTGATAGGAATCTCTAAGGGAAGAAAAAAATAATTTCAATCTGTTGTTAAATCTAAAGCAAAATTTAGATCTAATAAGAAGAGAAGCCATACTCTTTGGTACATGACTCATCCCTTTATTCTCTTAATACTATTATTTAGTTACCAATAATGAATTCTGTTACCAGAAGGCAAGTTTTTCTACTGATTATACAGTTAATTTAGCTGTGTTCAGAAGCCTATTGGATTGGATTTTACAGTAACTTCCTTAAATTATGAAAAAATATCTTATTTCCAAATCAAATGATATGAAGCCTTTCTGAAACACAGGAACAGAACTCGGCATAGTGGTGTATACATGTAATCCTAGCACTTAAAGAGACTGAAGCAGTATTGCTATGAGATCAAGGCCAGCCTAAACTACATAGTGAGTCCAAGACCAGTTAGTCTAAGCTACCTAGTGAGTTCCAGGCCAGTCGAGATTAGTGAGACCCTGTCTCAAAAAAACAACAAAAACGGCCACATATGTAAGATATTACAGTACAATTTAAAAAACATTTTAGCTTCATTTTGAAACTAACCTGTGCAAAACAGGAAATCCTCAAATGATTTTACCTTTCAAATAAGTATAACTATTCTGATTAGTTTTTTCTGTTTTTTTATACAGTTCTATGGACCACAATATTAAAGCCTAAGTGTACTACATTTAGATAATTGTGACTATCTATTCATACTGAATAATATAAGCCAACAAAGAATCTAATGTTTAAGTGAAATCCAATCTACTTTTGGAAAGTGTTTCTTCAAAATCCGTAATCAAATGTAATCTATAATCAACCTCTGGTACATTTAATAATTCTAGCTTTTTGGGATTTCTGACAATAATGATTTCTAGGCATTGATATTTAAAGCAGGAACAAAGAAAAAGGAAAAGGAGGGCAGGGAGGAGAGGAAAGTGAGGGAAGGTAAGGTAGAGAAGGGAGGGTTGGGGAGGGGACAGGACAGGACACGACAGGACGTGGTTAAGTAGCCCCTAATGCAGCTATATCCAGTAATTCAATGAAATGGAAAAAATCCGTTGACTGACTCATGCCTACCTGAAAGGACATATAAAAACCTGTGGTCTTTCCCTCACTGCCTATTCTCCAGATCAGATACACAAGTTGTAAGCAACTTAAAAAATTAGCATCTATCTTTTTATATCTCTGCATACCTATTTCTTTAGTACTACGCTATGTTGAGAGAGAGGGAGAGAGAGACAGAGAGACAGAGAGACAGAGACAGAGAGAGAAATGTATTAATCTATACAATGTTCACCTCAAAACTGAAAGAAAACAAAACAGGGCAACCTGCTCGGGACCCCTTCTGTCTGTCTTCAGAAGCTTTTTTTCTCTCATAAACATATTATACTCTTAAAAACAAGAAAACGAAACAGCAAATAAATACTGGCCTAAGAAATATATTTGTAAATAAAGGGAGGGACATCAGCCTGAAAACGGAAAAAAAAAGAAAAAAAAAGAAGACGACCACAAAAACATAAAAGAATATTGACTGTCATATTCCATAAAAAAGGAAAGACACATTCATGAAATAGAAGCCAAGAACCACACAGAATATAAAAAGCGTAATAATAAAATATACTATGCAAAACAATTATGATGAGCTGAAAGAAAAGTCAAACCCAAAAAGTTGTATCTGCATGATTCCATTTATATGGCCTTCTTGAAATGGTAATGGAAATGGAGATTGGTGGTTGCCAAAAGTTAGGGAGGAAATGGGGCTAAGAGGGACGTGGTTGTAGCTATGAAAGAGCACCATAGAAGACTTTGAGTCACGAAAATACTCTGTATCTTGACTGTGCCAATATATAGTTTATGTCGTGGTGGTGATAGTGTACTCAAATTTTGCAAGATGTTATCACTGAGAGAAACTGATTAAAGTTTACAGAGTTTCTCTACTTTTTTCTTTTTTTTTTTTTTTAAAAGCATACAGAACTGGGGAGGGGACCAAGAGATGGAGGCAGGAAAGAGGGAAGAGAGGGGACAGGGCAATAAAAAGAATTAAGATGTATTATACACCTGTACTAACAAAAACCATTTTCCTCAAAAAATAAAATGCATTTATATCTGAAGATAATTATATCTAAACAAAAATTTTAATTAAAAATAACAAAAAAAGGAAAAGTACAATAGATAAGGGGAAAACCAAGTAAAAACATATACACAAAACTGACATGAGCTGGGGCTAAGGATTTAGCTCAGCGGCATAAGCGCCTGCCTTGCAAGTGCAAGGGTCGTGAGTTTGATCCCTGTACCAAAAAAAAAACCTGACATGAGCTGCAATAAACAGCAAAAATAAATACAAGATAAGGTTTAACAAGACTCACTTTAATCAGATTAAAGTGAGACATAAAATATTAGAAATGTGAGGAATCAGGTCTAGCTGAAAAGTCCTTGTAAAAATAGTTTTTAGGGCTGGGGTTATAGCTCAGTAGCATAAGTACCTACCTGGCAAGTGTAAGGTTCTGAGTTCAATTCCCAGTACCCTCCCCAATTAAAAATTTGAATATGAAGGGTTGCTGTAGTGGTGTAACATCCCTGCAATTTCAGCATTCTGGGAAGTTAAGACAGGAGGATTTCAAGTTAGAGCAATTTAGTGAGACCATATCTCAAAATAAAAACAGCTGAGAAAGTAGTTCAACGCTCTGGATTCAATCCCAAAAGGAAAAGGGAGACAGTAGACAGATGGAAAGACAGAAAGACAGACAGACAGAGAAAGAAAAAAGAGACAGGCAGAGAGGGAAGGGAGGGGAGGGAAGGAAGAGAAAAGGAAGGAAAATTGGAATGGGGTTTAAAAAACTGAAAAACATTAGCATAAGTACTCTCTGAAATGTGAAAACAATATTTTATACTCATTCTCACAGTTCGGGATAAAATACATGCATCTATTTCTCTAGCATAAATTCTAACATTAAAATATTACAATATAAGATTTCCAACCTAAATATAGTGTTTAGAATGTAGGTATGATATTGGCTCCTACCCCTATTTCTTCAGATTAAAGGAAAATATCCAAGTGTTTATTGTTTAACTTTGTTATTGGTTGGAGTAATTATTTCTATGATATGCCCATAATCCAAACATATATAACAAATGATGTTTATAATAAAATTTCTTACATTTTAATACTTACTCTTAATAAATCATCTATTCTTCCTTCTTTCTTTTCTAAATCAGAATTCTTACTGTTTTCTAGTGCAGATATTTTTTCTATTGTGAGGTCAGACTAGAGACAAAGGCAAAACAAATTTAAGACTAGTCTCCAAATATTTTGTCATCACATTTTTCTTATTACACAGCAACTGTACATCAAAACCATGTCCCAAAATCAAATATATAAGTTCTCAAACTACCGTCCAATGAACAATACAGAAATACAGTACTCTAGAAATGAAACTAAATTTGAGTAGAAAAGAAATAGAGGAGACACAGCCCAAATCTCTAAGAAACAAACATGCCATCTAGTGGAAAGAAGGAGCAATCAGAAGTGGAGAGATGGAAATCTTCTGAGAGCTCAACTACCTAAATCTGTTTGTCCAAATACTGAAGATACAGATAAAATTAAAATCTTCTCCAATGAGTTGTATAGTTCTTAAGACTTAAATTCTAGACTTCCAAGCATCTTGCTTTTAAAGTAACACAGACAGTGCCAAAAGAGGGTGCAATAATACCCAATATTTTATTAGTTAACTGAATGCTATTTACTAGCCTTCTCAGATATAAATTTTAAGTGCTCACAACACTCCTTAAAAAGCTTCTGAAGAGTGCTTTAAGTAGGAAATTACATTAGTATAGCATATCACAAAGAAGTTTAGTTAGGTCTTGACAAGTAAGCAAGCAGGTATAAGGAATAAATAACTTCAAAAAGTAGGGAATTAACACTTATTAAATGCCTACTGTAAGAACTATTCTGATAAGGATTTTGTAAACCCTGGCTGAGGTAATTAGAATCACTCACTTGCATTTTTTAATATGATCACTATTAAAGGAAGCTGAACCCTAGGAAAATGCAAGTGTTAAGTGGCAGGGCCTGAGGCATTCAAACCTGACACCATGCTGCAGTATAATCATTTCTGCTACAGTACATCCAACAGTTACAGACAGGTCTCAAACATTACAAACAACTTCCAAAGGATTTTAAATACTCTTAACAATAAAAGTTTTGAATAACATATAACTGATGACATATGGTCAAAGAAACAGAGAAGGTCAAGAGAGGAATCACAGGCTTTCTCTACAGTTAGATTTCCGAGTAGATCTGTTTACCAATCCTGGCCTACCTGGGTCTGTCTGTGCTGGATGGAGATCTGCTTTTGGGAACTGCAGGAATGCTCTGTATTGCCAGATCCTGTAGAAGAAGGACTGTTTTGTTGAGCCTGTAACAAAGGTATACTGTCAATCACAGGAAACCTTTGCATCTTTCTCCACAAACATTTATATATACAGTTATTTTTGTAACTGTAATGAAAAGTTACAGTTCTAATGAAAACAAGAAATCAGGGTCACACGGCCAACCTGTAAGTCAAATATGAAACACAAGGGCTAGATATGGTAGCTTAAACCATGTTCCTGTAAGTTTTTTATTGTTTTGGCAGTGGGGGTAAGAGGTGAGGGATGGGAGAGGGTACCAGAAATTAAACTCAGGACCTTGCACTTGCCTGGTAGATGCTTAATGCTGCTGAGCTATATCCCCAGCCTTCCCTGTAAGTAAGTATCAAATGCTTACAAATAAATTTTTAAAATATATAAAAATATGTAAAATATATAAATTAGGAAAAAATGGACATTATTTCTGTAATAACTTGCTGCTTTTACTTGTGTTTCAGTATGCTTTTGTCAGAAAAGGTAAGTGAAACACCCAAGACACAGACACATCAAGAGTCCAGGTAAACTTGAATGGTTTTACATTGTTTTGATATATTTGATGCTACAGTAATACGAAGTTATACTCAAAGATCTCAAGGAAAGAGACAATATGGTAACTACTTTTATGTTGGGATTACCTTGTGGTGAAACACTAATTTGCTTAAATGGTTAAATTTTGACCTGCACTGTTTTGTTGTTATGCCCTCTTTTATCTCAATCTCCATTTTATTATTTACTTTTTATTTTTATCCTTTTAATTAAAGGAAAAATAAATTTTAAAAAAGGATATATTACAGTAACACATTTTGATATTCTAATAACTGGATTTGAAGCCCTGTATTGTTCTCACCATCTTGTTTTGACTGATGTTCCTCTATTCTGCTTTACTTGATAGTACCAGGTTCGAAAGTTTAGGCAACAGCTGTGAAGATAGTAGGATTCATTATGACGCCCATACTGGTTGTCTATTATCTACTTTTGAAGACCTGTAATGTCTCCAATGTTTTGGTTTTGTTGGTTTTGTTCTTTACTGTTTTGTTCAATTTTATTATAACTGATGATATAGGCAATTCTATTTGAGATAGCGGGAGGTATTATGGTAACCATTGTTGACCACCTTGTATTATGTTTTTACATTATCTATTATGTCCACCCTTTTGATTTAACTGACTCTGTTCTGTTAAGTCACATTTGGTTTTACTCTCTTCCAAAAAAGATAATAAGAACTGTGGGAACAATAAAACCCAAAATGTGTAATAGTCATTGTACAAAAGAGAGGAAAAGAAAGTGCTCTAAATGGTATAACTGCATGTATATTTAAGTGTATAAGATAGACAATGATATTACTGAGTTTTGTTGGATCACTGAACAGAACTGTTTGCAGTCTCACTGTTTGAATGTCCACTTTATATGCTTTAATCTTGTAACATGAACAAATATTTCTAAGATGACAATATGTAATCCATTAACTAGTGATTTCCTACTGTTTTTTTTTCTGAAATTCTGTATAACTTGTACCCTTTTTCTGCTTTTTTTTTTCTTTTTCTCCTTAAAAAAAAAAAGAGTCCAGGTAGAAAGAACTGCAACTACTCCAATTTCCTAAGCACACAAGCATTATCTACAAAATACACAGTTGTCTAAAATTCTAGGTTGATTTCCAATACTGGTTTTGTTTTTGTCTTCTTCCCTGTTACTGGAGGCCAGAGAGTGCTGAGCCCAGAGAGTGCTGAACTACATCCCTGGCCTAATTAGTATATATTCTGACTGAAGTTTATCCTTCTTTATGGTAGAATACTGTTCTATTGTGTGTATTTTCTATCCATTAATCTGTGGATGGACATATAGGCTGCTGTCAAGATTTACCTAATCTGAATTCTCTCCATTCTTTTTTTCTTTTTATTGTTGTTTTCTCTGATTTTTTTTTTTTTTTTTGAGACAGGTAGGCCCTTGCTATGTAGTCCAGGTTGGCCATTACACTCACTGTACTCCGGCTATCCTTGAATTTGTGATTTTCCTGCATCAGGTTCCCAAGTGTTGAGACTGCAGGTATATGCCACCATGCCTGATCTTTCCCCATTTTTTTGAAAATTCCATATTGAGAAAGGATCATGTTAAATTGCCCCAGCTGGCCTCAAACTTGCCATCCTCCTAACGGTCTCCTAAGTAGCTACAATTATGGCATATGTTATTACACTAGGCTTACAGTATTTTTATTATTTTAAACTTTTATTTATTTTGGCACTAGGGATCAAACCCAAGACTGTGCATGTTAACCACTGAACTAAAACCCCAGCTCTAAAGGATTTTAAATTTATGTGTTTTAAGTTTAACATAATCCATCTAGTCATATACTCCTAAAAGTTCTTTTAAAAAAAGATACAAGCTGGGCATGGTGCTGTATGCATGTAATTCCAGCACTTGGGAGGCTGAGGCAGGAGGATGGTTGTAAATTCAAGACGAGCCTGGGCTACAAAGTGAGGTCAAGGCCAGCCTAAACTGCAGTGGTGAAACTGTCTCAAAAAGAACAAAAAAAACAGACCTAATATGGTAGATTCATTACAGATATAACAAGGGAGTGCTAAATATTTTGAGGATTACAGAATAATGAAAATACAGTTTTACTGTCTCATTCAGAGAATGCAGTTTATATACATGTAAATTTTAGAGGTTTGGAGTGTAACTCAGTAGCAGGTGTACACTTAGTACACACAGGTCCTGGGCTCAATCCTCAGTACTTTCTTCACAGTATTTTTGATTTTTTTGTTGTTGTTGTTGTTACAAGGTCTTTGTATGTAGTTCAGTCTGGCCTTGAACTCCCTATATATAGCCCAGGATGGCCCGAAATTTGTAGAGAACATCCTAAGTACTGGGATTACAGGTGTGTACCTCACGCCCAGTTCATGATTATTATTCTTACTAATTACCATATTAACAATGGCAAAAATCATCATCTATTGAGGAATCACTCACTATAAGCTAGATGCTTCAGTGTCATTGTCACATGTTATCCTCATAAATTCTGCAAAGTGGTTATTATTTTACATATAAAATATAAATCAGAAACATCAAGCACCCATACAGAATTAGTAAGTGAGGTAACTGAAATTGGGAGCTGTATTTACAATGACAGTTCTCAAGGGCCAGAGTAGACTGTTAAAACCATGCTGTGTGCAAGCTGAAGAGTTCATACATGTGATTCAACAGAAGGATCACTACAGTCCTCTAATGTATGGAGGGATGTATTTTTTGGTATAGGGATCGAACTCATGACCTTGTACTTGCCAGCCAGACACTTATGCCACCGGGTTAAATCCCCTAGCCCTCTTAACATAGGCAATACTACCAATTCCATCTTTATGTCTTCATTCAGTGACTACATACCGAATACTACTTTTTAAAATTTTTTGTTTGTTTTGTTTTTTGACAGCGGACTAATGTAGTTGAAACTGGTCTTGAACTCACTACATAGCTCAAGATGGCCTCAAACTTACAGTGATTTGCCTGTCTCAGCCTCTCAAGTGCTGTGGTTCATGTGTACACCACCATGCCAGGGTCCACTGAGTACTACCTATGTCTAAACACTCTTAAGTGCTAGAGGCATATGGCCATGGAAAATAAACACAAGCCCCAGTTTTTATACCTTAATGAAATTTACAAATCAAGGTAAGATTAAGCACCCAATAAAATATTCATTGGAAGACATTGCTGAAATGTACAATCACAATAAATACAAAAGTATAATTAGGAAAAGTACTTTTAGGAATGCCTATTGGGTGATGTTGGCTAATCTAGACTCACTAGTGAAATTTGAAGACACTTAAGAATTGAAGATAATCAAGAGTCAAAAACAGGAGATGACAGGGATTTTTCCAGGTGAAGAATATAAATGAAAGCACTACTAGAAGAGATAAGGCTGACTGAGTTCAAGAAAGTCAAAAGAGAGGAACTAGTTTCAGAGACCACTGAACAGTTTATGCAGCTTGGAATGCAGCTCAGCAGCATAGCGCCTGCGTGGCAAGTACAAGGTCCTGAGTTCAATTCTCAGAACTAAAAGACAAACAAACAAACAAAATTTATGTAAACAGTAGGTGGCAAAGCTATGATTAAAAGCCAGTTCGTGAATGGATGGATGGAAGAAAGGAAGGAAGGAAGAAAGGAAGGAAGACAAATTTTTCTGTATACTGACTGACATGCAAGACATCTAAACTTTTACTAATTAAAAGTTATCAATTATAAGTCTCAAGTACTACACTATACTATGATACAAAGATGTGGTCTCCTTCAGTTATCATTAGATTGCACTTACAAATCTTTCCTTCTCATCTTTGTTTCTAAACACATATGATTATTTGAACTGTATTTTTAGTAGGCACTAAGGTCAGATGACTAATTGAATGGCTTTTTAAAAAATGATTTCTACCTTTTTTTGAGACAGGTTCTCACTATGTAGTTCAGGCAAGCCTTGAACTCACTGTATAGCCCAGGCTGGCCTCAAACTCTTGGCAATCCTCCTACCTCAGCCTCCCAAGTGCTGAGATTGCAGGTGTGCATCACCACACCTGGCAAATTTCTAGATTCTGGTAGATGGCTTGTGACAATACTGTCTTCTACATGTGCTGATTTTTGGTTCTATGTTTCCTTCAAATAAAGAGTATTAGTATCTAATTTAATGGTCTGTTTCTATACTAAAGATTTCAGTAAAAACACATATATAAATACCTCAATGATAAGCAACAGTTAACTGAAGAAATAAGTCATAGTTTAAAATAAACAAATCCAAATGAAAAGAAAGTTTTCAAAATGTACTACACAAATATGAGGACCTAATATGACAACCTGAGTCCATGGTATAACAAAAAATACTAATTCTAATCATTCAGTATTAATTGTGGAGCCCTGTACCTGCTTCTATGTGAAACACCAGAAATTGAAAACTGGTAAACAGTGAGAGATGCCACTCACCCAACAAGTCATTGATTACAGAGTAATAAACCCAGGGCAATGAGAATAT